TGTATAACCTAAAATATTAAGTGCAATATTTTTTTTTTCAAATAAAAAAATAGTATATATATTTTGCAATGCACTTTGGATTTAGTAATAATAATCATTCTTCTTTAAATATAAAACAGCTGACCCTGTAAACTGCTATTTAGAATTTTTTACTATGAATTTTAGAATAAACGAATTAACGTATAAACAACGTTAATATTTTAGTTCAATACTCCAAATCTTTTTAGCATTAATATATGGTCCTATCGTTAAAAGTTTTCCGTCATACTAAAAAGTTTATATTTTCGGTCTCTTTAAGAAAGCAAGAGCTTTTCAATTATTTTTTTTCTTCACCAAAACCAGATTTACTGTTGCTGAGTAGGTGCGCCAGTGGTTTAAAGTAACTAAAAGTTTATATACACAAAAAATTTAAAAAAAAATTTAAAATTAAAGTTGTAAACAGTTGATTATATAAAATTTTCAGCGAGAAAGTTAGAGCCCTCATATATTCCTGTAAAGTCAAAGTTACTAGAGGCTCGCTTTTTTTTAAAAATTACTAAATGATAATAACTAATTTTTAAGAACGGATAGTAGGCCCTAAATTACTTTTTAAAGTCTAAACTATTGAAAAGAGGGGGCTAAAACTTAAATTTAGGAAACGTGATAAAAACTTTATATACCTAGTTAAATACTTATATCACTTTCATATCATTTTTTAATGCTTTTTAATTTCGGCAAACATCCTTATTATAGTTTAAAGTTTTTATATAATTAAAAAATTACATTAATATAGCTCACATTTATAAAGTTACTAGGGCCTTGGGCAGCGGACTCCTATACCTACAAAATTAATAAATAATAAAACTTAAGTAAGCGCTACGGCGCTCATGTGCACGCGAGTACCACAAAACGGATTTTGTTGAAAACTGTCAAATTATTTATATAAAGCTCATAGCAAAACCGGTGATTCCCTCAGTCTTAGATTTCCTTAGACTGCCACAATTTGGTATTTCAATATTGCCCTTGTGATCGGAATCGTGGAGGTTTCTGCTGTGCCGTTCGGGGGTGGCCCCTGGCCTTGGCCGTAGCAGAGATTTCGCACCCACGCTTTATGAGGGGCTCCTCCTGTTCTTCGAGGTTTTTAGGGGACTGCGGTGGCTCCCGCAGGGAGCCTTTCTCTCCGTCCAAGGACCTTTTTTGGAGAGGGGTCAAGGGCGGTAAACGAGCGAGGATTTCTTGTTCAAGTTTTTTAGAGAGAGGGAGGCAAGGCTGCCTCTTATACGTTGTAACTAAGTCGTTCTTAAGTTAGGCATCGTTTAATATAACGTCGGTTAGGGTGTAGGTTAGTAGTAGTAGTAGCCTTAAGGTTGTATTTGTGGTGGGGGACAAGTTATAGAGGTTGTTACATATTCAGTAGAAGCTTCTTTAACCAAGGGAATTTAGAGGGGGGACCCTTACTTCCGTGTTAAGTAAGTTTTTTGAAGATTTGGTGAACAGAATAAATAAAGAAGCTGGAATGGTTACGGCAAATAGATATTACGATAAGAAACTAAAAAATATAGGACATGGGAAAATAAAAAAAAAAGTAAAGACTACTAAGTAACAACCCCCCTTCCATGTGCGCTACTTTATTTAGTAAAGTCCTATATAAATACCAACAACTAAAATCTTAAAAATTTGGTAACCCATTATTATTTGCTAGTATTTGACAGCTTTTATGGAAAAATTTAGATTCATATTTTATTTAGTGCGCATTATTTTTATCAATTTTATTAAAGAGAGCAGTAGTAGTAAGCCTGTTAGATAGAATGTTTTAATTTAACGCGTTATATTTCTTAAGAAAATTTTGTATTAAAACTGCATTAATTTTAATAAGTTTTACCTGGAGTAAACTTGACAGTACCCCAAAGGGGAGGCGATGCTTAATTGTACGGGTTTCAATGAGCTTAGCTTTCCTAGAAGAGGACGCAGTAACTTTTACGGGACGGTCTAAAGGCCTTAAGGGAGGTGTTGAGAGCTGGCTTCACAGTTTTTCTCACGACTTTAGTATTTCGAAAGCTAGGTTGTGACGAAAAAACAAATGATGTAGGCGCTTAAACACACTCCTAGGAATATCCTTTCGCTTTATATACATAGTATATTGGCGGATCATTTTAGGAGATTCAAATCAGATTAGATATCCGTCCAACAGGACCATTTGCTTTTTAGATGAAGAATAATTTTTAGTTTTTTTTAAACTTGAGCCAAGTATACCACATTCAAGATTACGTACAATATAACAACATTTTTAATATTTTTGCTTGTGTTTTGTTACTCAAAATTTCTTATTATTTTTTTTAAATGTGGGTTAATAGGTTTACTGAACTACCAAAAGCACCGTAAAAATTTCTTTGATAAAAATCGAGTCTTTCGAGGAGTAGAGCAAGCACCGCCTAAGAAACAAACATTTAGTATGGTGCAATATAAAATAACTAAATTGACAACCAGCTGTTTTTTTTTTGGCACCTTTATTCTAGTCTGTTTAGGTAAGTACCCACTCTTATTAATGAGTAAATTTAGGCGTGCACATAAAAATATCGTTTAGAGGTTAATGTTATAAATAACAAACAAGAAAACCTGAACGGTTCGAAATAGAACATTAAGCAATAGGAGAAAACAAAAAAAAGGATTAAATTTTTATTACACCAGACTATAAAGACGTTAGCAGGCCACATTCTACCAGTCCTATTTTTCCAAAGGGGTACTATAACTGTTCCAAGGGAATGAGAGGGAGCGGAGATACCTGGCACTTGCCTTACGGTCTACTGTTAAGAAATCACTAGAGGCCGTTTTCCCTAGTTCTGGACCCAATGAAATCATCAACCAGCATGACTGTCGGCCTGGTCATCCTGGCTCTCATGGCCCTCACCTAAGGGCATGGAACCTAGGAAATTAGTTATCGAGCTTCTGGGGTGTATGCATTAGTATCTCGTCCCTGGTTCGAGACACAAAGCTTTGGATTCGCCATCTGACTATTTGGTAACAAGAACTTGTTTTATGTAAGTTTGAACGTTAAGGGTGATAAAGGGAGGGAACTCTGCGCCGGGCTGGTGTCGAATAGCTTTGTCTCCCGGTATCCAACGTTTATCTTGTGCTATGGATATGAAAGAGCTCTCGTGTAATATATTGGGGTGATTACTATTTGATGAAACATAGTTTATAGGGGGATGGTGTGACCCTCGCAAAAAAAAATAATGGATGTCAATGTGTTTCCTACTTTCTTGTGATGATTTTAGTCGTTATCCACACAATTACAGGTAAACAATTTACGTAGGTAGGAACAGCATCGATTAAACCTGACTTTTTACAATACAAATAAAGATTTTAACTATATGTCTATGGCAGTAGATTTACAAGCAAGAATAAATTCTGCGGTTGTTTGAATTTATTAACTTATGTAATCTCCATTTTTATACCCTACAAGAATAGCGGGATGTTGATAGGCTTTTATAGCACAGATATAAGTATTATATATAAAGGAGCAAAGCTTCGGCAATAATTAAGAGTGAAGACGTTTCCTGCATAAATGAAATCCTTTAATACTTTTAATAAAGCGCCAAAACAATATTTTCAATAGAAAATACTACTTGACTAAAATCAAAAGTTTGGTAGTTTGCATTGGAAACTATAAACTATATAGTTTCCATTGACAGGTTGTAATTTCCTGTAAAACTACGATTCAAGTCACTGGGACCTTATTTACTAAATCTAATGACCTGTCGCACTCTGCCTAGTACCCTTTAATAAGTATAACTACTATCGCTGTATCTTATAAGCTAAGGCTGTCTTGTCTCTGAAGTGAAAGCTTGATGCATGCCCTACGAGATAGCTCACGTTTTGGGCCGGGATTCACTTGGCTTAAAAAATTCCGTTGGCCTTAGACAAGCAATACCGTAGCCAAGTAAAAAAAAAAAGCCGATCAGTTTTTGACTAGTACGTCATGCAGTATAACACTTGACGGGGGATTCCTCTATGTAGGTTATGTTTATATAGATCTGCGTCATACATATTTAATCTTTTCTGACATCAGTAATAAATTCTTTTTTAATAATTTAATTGCCTTTTTAGTTTGGGTTTAGAGTAGCTTAATGTTTTGGTTCCAAAGCAGCTAAATGGTCATTGATATATATTTTAAGAATATTGAAGTCACCGTGCTTTTTATTATATAAAAATAGGAAATATGGAACAAAGTGCCGCGCATAGTTTAAATTATCGTTAAAACTAGCGTATTAAATTAGGGAATGATCTAAGTATCTAATACATTCAACTTTTCGATTTTTTTAACCTTGGTGGAATTTCCATTAAATTTCTTTTTAACGATGAGGTTGCAACTGCACTCTTTTAAAAAAGGTCAAGCAGTCTTTACAAATTTAACATTTAAACAATAATACTTTTTCTAATTCATACGGTTAATCTTCGGAGGGGTAGATATAAAAAATTATACCGAGGATTTTTTGCATATCCACTTCGTAGTTTGTCCTCCATATTATTTTTCTAATCTTTGCAAACGTACTAGCCTTAAATTTCACATTTACCAAAAATTTTATACGAAAATTCTAGGTGTAAAATTTATAGAGCCTGCAGGTCAAGGACTTTCTTACGTAAAAAGCATTAATAATTATTTTTATAACTCTGGCAAAAAAATACCTCTTCGCAATTTTTATATAATCAGATTTCACCAGCATTAATGAAAAGCTTGCTAGACAAGCAATGTCGACGATAACTTTTTCACCTTGTAAGATAATATATTATTTCGGTTAATTACCCCGCTGTCATATTTACTATATACTCAGTATTAAAATATGATTAGACCAAGGCTGCCAAACAAAATGTTATTTCTCGAGCGCACTTTTTTAAAAAAAGTCATTTTTTAGGGTTTGCAGCTATTCAGGGCGAAGAATCTATGGTATTACCGATGGGGTCGGTCGCTTTGCCGGCGAATATTGATTGTTTTATTTTGTTTCCAGTTTTTATGATTGATATATAAATAAAAGTTACGATTGCTGGTTTACTTTTTCTAATTTGTTTCAGGTATAGTCACGAGAAAAGCAAGTATTTTTCCACCCTTTCTTGACTCAAGACGGTAAGACAAAGAGTTGATTCTTTTTGTTTAGGTACCAGAATATGGGATTGAAGATATTCTCTCTTTACACTCACTTTTTTTTTTACTAATCAACTTTTAAACTAACTAAAATGTTACTGTAATAGAAAACTCTACTGATTTTAGTAAATTCTTTCGTTCTCACGAAAACTTCATGTTTTTCCCTTCTTCTTTTATTCATGCTGGTAAATTATTTGAAATCTTGCCTCTTTAAACTCGTTTTTCAAACTTCTTTGTAAGTTATAAAAATTACTGTTTTACCTTTTTTAATTTTAGTAAATATTTTTTTGCTAAGTGCAGTTGAGTTTTCTATTTTTTACTTTATTTCGAAATTCATTTTTCTCTAGTTTTAAATTTGGTTTTTTCCTAATTTTAAAGTTTGGACTGTTTTTAATGCTGGTTATTTTGAAACTTCTTATATTTTTGTTTCCTATATTATTTTACTTTTGATTTATTTAAATTCATATATTTTCAGCTCGTTATTGACTTGTTCGCAACGTTTTATCTCGATTCACTTGTGCTTCCCATCTGGAGTGAAAAGGAATGATTAAAGTTTATACTATTGGTATCTTAGCTTTAGATTCAAATAAATTCTTAGTATAAATAGGGTTTTTGTATAGTTTTTTAATATCGTTTGAGGATATCTTATAATATACATATTTACTAAAGGTACTCGACGCCTGTCGAGCTTCAGTTTTAAGCAGAAAGTTTGTAAAACGGTTTTTTATATTTAAAGAAGAAAGAAAGGTTATATACAAATTTTTATGTAAATCAGTATAAGAATTGCCTTATATTATAAGTTATAAATAAGCTGGGTTGTCTTAGGCTGGTTATTTATTAGAGGTTGAGGAGAATAAACACATTTTTATTGTAGAAAAATATTAAATTTTAAAATATTGAGTGACTGCAAAAATTATTGAAGTTATAGGTATAATAAAACAGAAAAAAGGAAGTTTTTATATTTTGAATTTATTTTATTGATAATTTTAATTATGATAACTTTAAATTAATATTTACTATTTAAACATATTTTAAAATTTAAGAGCAAGGAAGGATTTAACGTGTAGGTGAATTAATTAAGGAAGTTTCCTGAAAGGTTACTCTTGACACTATTTAAAGAAAAGTTATTACTCGTAAACAATATAAAAAAGTTTAATAACTTCATACTAATAAACAATCACCAAGGAGAGTTAGGATAACTTATTAAAAAGTTTACTATCAAGCAAAATCTTATTCTTTTTAAATATTCACTGGTTAAACTTCGACTCGGTGTTTCTTGTGCTCGGCATTGATCTAATGGGAAAGAGAGGTTCTTATTAAGTTGGAGATCGTGTAAGTTATACTTTCTATGTTAAAGTAATTAGTAAATAGCAAATTTTTTTTAGGTGTTTTTAACTTTTGTTACTAACTAGTAAAGCGGCTGTATATTGAGCATTTAATAGAGTATAGTATTATCAGTCCAAAGTTTTTAAAAAATAATAAAAAAGTTAGCGATAATTTTAAAGCATTAAATAAAAAATTTAGTATAAAAAATTATTTATTATGGATTTTTTTCTAAGGTTAATCCAACTTCGGTAAGCTTAACTATTTTATTGACTGACTTTTTATCAACCATTCTGGTAACTGACCGTCTCGAGTAATTATTTGCACTAGTTTATTTTTTAGCTAATTCATTTTTTTTTCTTTAGCAATTCCCCGATTTCGGGGTTCTACGGCATACTGGCCGCCTACTCCGCTTGCCTTTAACAACTCACGCCGGAAAGGACACTAGTTATGATCCTGCAAAATCTGTTTGTGTTGCAGAGTAAATTTATAAAACCAACACAGTCTATATTTCAATTTATTTCCTTATTAAAACAATTTTCTCTTCTCTGCCTCATAATCGCTGTAGTGCTTTCGGCTACCAGACTTTTGCCCTCTTTCGCCCCAGTACTACTCTTCTGCAGTACACAAATATGGCGTGGATACATCTGCGGTTTTCCCACGCTGCACGTGACCCCTCCGAGAGTTTCGCATACAAATCCTTTTCCCGGATTAACTTTTTTCTAAATCAGTCTCTGTTTCTCTTCCTTAATAAACTGTGCAGGTTGCTTAGACCATGTTCTACGGTTCTACCGAGACAAAATAAATTATCAAGGCTCCCCGCTAGAAAGGCCGCCGCTACGTGCCACCTCGACGTGGGAAGTCACCCGTCTGCTTGATAACCACACAGCGGTTGTGTATAAGGGGGTTATTATTTATTCTAACAAAAGAAGCTCGGCTTGCAGGCTCTCAACGAACGGCTCTCGAACGTGTAGCTGCCGGCTGGGCTGGCTCTACACCAGTTCTGGTTTATTAAAATAAATATTGAACTAGTTTTCTAGTTTTCTTGATTACTGCTAGCCGGTATTTGACCCCTCCCATTCTCTCGCGTCTTTTAAACACTGTAAAGTTTTTTATATATTATGAACACTTAAACAGTTTTTGTTGGTAATAGAAGTACTTCGCGGAGAGCGAACAGCCAATTTTCTGCGCTGATTTCCGAGGCCGCACTTTAAAAATTAAGTTTTATAACTCAAAAGAATGAATTAAAGGCCTACCAAAAGTAAAAAGTGAGTTTGCTGGTGGTGAGTTTGAACGCGTGAGCTCGATAGCAGTCGTCAGCTGGGAGAACTTGACCGTCCTTGCAGCTCAAAAGATCAATACTATAGCAGGGGTTCCCGTGTTTCTGCTTAGAATATGTTGCAGCCTTGATAGTCCAAGTATCCCGAACCGAACCTTGTATTCGTCCATATACATGTTAAAGCAGTGACCGCCCAGCACGGCGTAGTACAGGGACCAGGCGCCCTATGACAGTCGGCAGAATAGGTTCCCTCGGGCGTCATAATTATCAAGCGAAACTTACGGTATCTCTTTTCATGTGAAGATAGTCCTCGTGGTAACGCTCTGGTTTCTACAGCGAAAAGGCTGATAGTCTCGTAGAAGCAAGGCCAATAATAGTAGTAATAATAATCTTGGTAGCGCTCTAATTTCTACAGCGAAAAGGCTAGTGGCCTCAGCGAAGCGGGAAAGGTGAACGCACCAGCGTAAAAAACTCGCAGTTCATACTCATGGCCATCAAGCTATTTTCCGAGTGGGCGACCAGCGAATTCTCGCGGGAGATGGTGAAGTCGCTGAGCCCGACACAAATAGTGCCTTAGGATGTTCTGATAAAGATGAGTAAAGGATGCAAGACAAGAGAGGCAGTCACCCCAATCTTCTACAAATTCCGATTCATTTTTTGAAGTAGCAATTTTTTTTTTCTTTCGGCTAAAAAAATTCAATCCAAATAGCGATCTGTTTTTCTTGTTGGCTCCAATAGTACAACTTGTCTTTGCTTTAGCCTGCGTTGAAGCTTCTACGCACAGGGAAAAGTCTTTATCCACTTCTCTTCAGACGCATATATATAATAAAGTAAGTCTCTAGCTATTTTAAAAAGATCATATTTAATGAGCGGATCTATAAAAACTTTTTTATTCTAAAAATTATATATATTTTACATCCGAGCGTCATCTATAACATTATAAAAAGCTTTCTCAGGAGCCCATTCAGTTGTCTTTGAAAGTATTATCTCCCCTTCATATAAAAATTAGATTATATACAGTAAATTAGATATATAAATACCTTTATGTTGAACTTTTACGTGTAAAACTTTTTCCGTTAATGGTTCCAACTTTTCTAATTAAAAAAATAAGCAATTCAATAAATATTTATTGAAAACTATTGATAATAACTTTTCGAAGTTGCTTCTAACTTGGATCGGGGCGACACAGCAATATCTACCAGTTTCAGTAACAAAGTAAATTTAAATAGAGAAAAAAAAAGGGAAATACCACGTAACCGAAGTATAACCCGTTGCGGGGAGTCCCCGGTAAGCAGTGGAGATGAAGCAGAAGTAAAGTTTATGTCTTTTAATTTCGGACGCTCCTTAATTCGTACGGGCTTTTCTGAATATGCACCCTTTTTCAAAGCAAGCGAATCGTCGTTTTTTGTAAGAAACCTTTCGATATAAATTGTTATTACAGATAATGTAATAATCTAAATAATAAATTATACACTTCTTGCGTAGACCAGACATCCTTACAAGTTTTAAAAGCTATATTTAGTTTAGACGTCTCAGTATCTTAGATAAAATAAAAATCATGCAAAATTATTTTTTTGTAATAATCACAAATATAGAGTACTGCATCCCGAAAAATCATTTACACCAAAGCCACCATGATTTTCTCTAATATAGAATCATAAACATGTTATAACAGCAATAGTTTTGCAACTATAACCTGCTTTGCTTAGGTGTACTTTGATTTAAAACCGTTTGTTTACTACCATCAATCCCTAGAGTCCCTTTAGCCAAACCTAAGTTAGGTCAGATATACGCATAGTAGTGGTCGGTGCAGTTATGATGCTCTCTGCTACGAAAACTTTAAATAACCTTGGTTTTCCACTAAAAGTAGTTCATTTACTTCAAGAGGTTGCAAGGGGAGTAATTCTCCTTCAACCTTAATCTTACGCCTTCCCTTTCTCATAGGAAAACAAGGTATAACGCAAAAGAAGCATTGTCGGCAGTATACAAATACAAATGCATCCCAAATTCGGAATATATAATAAGGCGAAAACATGAGGAAGTTAAAACAAATATGGAAAGAAACCGCTTCAAATTTGGATACGTCATCGCACTAATTCAACTTACACCAATCGTCATGCATTAGTTACAGGCTTACAAACAATGCAATGTTCATCGATGATTAAGCGTAGCTTTGCACTTAGATTTACCATATAAATAACTTTAAAAGCAATGCATTGATAATTTTCACAAAGTTAATGTTTGGAGTTTGTAAATATTTATGGCAAGTAAGGTTTGCTTGATACATTAATTTTAACTTGACATAAAATCTTATGTATTTTTAATATGGTGACTATTTTCAATCTATTATGCTAGCGCAGTCCTAGCTTCTGCGGTGACTTCCTCTTCGTAGTTATTTTTATATTCAGATTATATATCTTCAGTTTATGTTAAGTGAACAAACTCGCGCTGTAATTATAGCTGTTTTTAAATTATTAGTTTGAGTGGTGCAAGTTCTTTTTAAAAAAATTTTCTAATTATCCTTAGAACCCCTGTAGATAACATGTAAGAAAGATCTGACTATAATGACATTACTTAGTATTTGTAACATGTTTATTTTTTGTATTCGTGCTTTGTAGTTATTATAAAACAGTTTCGCTTAAAAATTTTGTTTTAAATGACATACAGGTTTTGTTTTTATATTTTCACGCTTCTTAAGGTTTAATTTTGCTAATTAAACTCAAGCACAGTAGTAATATCTGATGAGTACCTTGTCTGAAAAGAAGTTTGTAAGATTTATGGTTTTAATTCTATTTGCCGTAATGTTTAGACCTCAGGCAATCCGCGATTTTTGTTGAAAAACAAACAGCAAAGAAAATGATTTGTGTATTTTTAGTAAGCCACATTTTCTTTCTTACGTGCCGTTCCAAATGGGGTGGTAAAAAAAAGCGTTTTAAATGATCTATATCACTACCTATGTTCCAAGGTATTAAAACAGTTAAAAAAATTTCTGCTTGACTGGATGAAGCTTGCGTTTAATGAATGCAGCTAATTAGTTCCTACAGAACGTGTCAGTACAGACCTCAGTGGCATCAATGCCCTTCTTATGAGTGGTCCCTCAGCGGTACTGTGTTAGACTTATTGGATATCGCTGCCTTGATAAACATTTGCTTTACAACGGCAGTTGAGGAGTTCATTGATTAGGTATTCTCAAAATAGAGCTTAGCAATAGGTAACCATATAAATTTTCTTTGATAAGCGAAAAAAATTCTTACTTTTTGGTTAAATGTTATATAAATAGTACTTATTTTAATGTCTTTACGCTGAAACAATTCTAAGATTGGGATGTAGAAAACTCAAATAGGTTATGTCCTTTATAAACTTTAGTAAGTAGTGAAATAAAAATCATAATGGACTGCCAAGGTTTCGTAATACTGTGTGACAGCCTAAATTGTAAAAATTTATAATGGAATAGCAGAATCATAACTTTTATTTCGACTTTGTCTTCCTTTGGCAAGCAAGTACATTTAAACATACATACAAACTTCCAAAAAGTAAATTAATTCTCAAGCCTCTTTAACTAAAAAGGCTTGGGGGTCTGATATTATAAGAAACTCATGCTAAAAGCTTTCTTGAACCGATCACAAAATATATTACTTTTTCCCTTAATTTTTACTAAATCCATGTCAGTGGAAAGTAATAAGCGTAATTATCCTCTCTAATCAAACAATTTCTACTTAAATTTTACGGCCCACTATATTTATATCGTACTGGGAAAGTAGGAGAGACACTTTTACTGACTAGTAACTACTATAACTTGTAGATCAGAACCGTATTATCCCTAAAGTTCGATTTGGGTTGGGAAAAGGCTGCTTAATTATTCACAACAGCCTTGAGTTTTTCCTTACGCGTGAGCAAGGGACGAAACCGATAGCCCTATTTTTGATGTAAAGCTCTTCGTTGAAACCTTTTCACCGTGTTTGATGCTACTGGAGTATTTTTTTCCTGAATGATGTTTCTTTTAAACGTGTTTTATTTTAGAAGTTTTCATAACTTTCTGCTAAGCCCTCAAAAGCAATTTTTTTGAGCGTTTGAGTCTACTGTCGGCTTGTATATTTGGCGGACAAACGTCATAATAACTTAATAAATAGTTCTTACCAATCTTTGCTACTTTTAGTAGGCGTTACAGTTATTTACTACGCGAGAAAGGGAGACACTTATTTAATATGTTACAGAAAGAGTGGATATTCTCTCCTTTTCTCCAAATTTAAGGATTACTTTACAGTGGCTAAGGTGTTCTTCACGAGTAAAACATTCGTCAATTTTAAGAATTGCAAGTTATTGCTATTTAAAAAAAAATACTCGGGGTATTTTAAAGGAATCTGGAAAGCAAACTTGTGGTAATAAGTATATATTATAATTGCAATAATGCAGTGATATTATTAATATATTGTTGTACCTTCTATATACTTATTATGTTTGTAGGCATTCACTTTTTGACTTGCTGTTAATCAAGACACCTTCAGTTTTTAAATAAATTTTAACAAAAAGAATTTCATATTTTAAATATTCTTAATTTTTTTAAAAGTTATTCCAGGTACTTGGTTTTTAATTTTCGACCCAACTTTTATGCACAGGTACTCCTAGTTCAATAAATTTTATCGAGAAAGCACTACACATAGAACTGCCTGTTTTGGACTTATTAAAGGAATTTTATAAGTACTTTATTACATAAATCTATTAAATTATTTACTTAGTATATCACTAGTGCATTTTAAGGAAACTTTTGTCAATCTTATTTTTAAAGACTTAATTATATAATATATAATTACTGTTTTTATTGATAGAACTATAACCCAGAAGACAATGGCTCGCGTGTTTTTAGATATAAAAAGACCTTTCTATGAGTTACTTTTTGTTATATATACTTACTTTATTTATTCAGAATGTTAATAATAACATTCTCGTTAAAAGTACTACTTACCCAGTTGTATTAAACGGACAACTATTGTTTAAACATTACGTCCTACGTTTAATATATATATATATATTATTTTTTTTGTTAAAGCCTTCTCGAATCTAGTTACTTTGTATAACTTCAGATGCCCACATTAGGTTCTGGTATTTTTCCTAGACGTTTGGTATAGTAATTCAGACTCTAGCTACATTAAGGCTTGCGAGCAAACAACTTTATGACAAACTTTTTTGTGGTTTATTTTTTAATTTTAAAAACTTTAATTTAAATTAAAGTTTTTCAAAATTGTTATTAACGCTGCCTTTATATCCCCATGGGCATAAAACCAGGGTCAAAAAAGAGAGAGATAATTTTAATTTAGAGAGGGGAGAGATTAACATATAAAGAAATATATTTTTTTATCGTTATAAACGATGTGCGGAGGTGCGACCTCGTTATTACAACTTGATTTTTATTTTAATTCAGTGTTCTGAATAAATAACAAAATCCTTTAAATGTACCCATGACCCGATCTTTGGAAGTACATATAAATAAATTGTTACCAGGAATCTATGTAAAGAATCTTTAAGTTTTTAATAATCTCACAAAGGGGGCCCTTCATATAGATTATAGACTACATATTTAACTGTTACCAAAATACTTATGATATATTAACCAAGGTAATCATCCGTTTTAATTGAAGCATAGTTAAATTAAAAGGCATAAATAGTAGAAATCCAGTAAGGACTTAAAAAATTTGTACAAAAACCTAGCTATTGCCGCCTTTAATTTAAAACATTTTATATAAACATACGTCAGTATGCTTGCTCGTTAACGTCCAAATTGGGGTGTGATGTGCAACATCGTTAAGAGCGAGGCCCTCTTTTTTTTAAAAAATGCGTTACTTTACCTTCTCCCCTTTCTTTCGTGTATCAGGCAAAAATAATGGATTATTATCGATAACAAACCGTTGTGGCGGAGAGCAAGGTGGCAACGCAGCGCGTTACTCGCTACTGTATATAAAGAGCTACGGCCTTAGCTTTGCAGTCCAAGGGTTAACTGAGTTTTGAGGAGTAGTGCATGGGTAGCACCACTTTCTACGTTCTTTACGTCTGTTGGATTTTTCTAACCCTAACCTAATACTAGAGCTATTTGTTTTCAGTGGTATAAATGGCATTAAAAATTGAAGTAGTAACTGAAAAAATAAAAATTATGGTAATAATAATAACGCCATATTAGTTTATAGAATGACCATTAGCATTAAAAACACGATTATTAGCAGCTACATTAACAACCACTGTGAACTTATCCAATAATAAAAAAAACCTTTAAAGAATTACACAAGGCCGGGTTATGCAGCCCATGCTATTGCTAAGCAAGCACCACCGAACTAGCTGCGCCACCACGACCCCGTAAGGAGAGAATCCTTCCTGTTATTTTTAAGTGAATAAAAGTGATTTTTCTCTATAAAACTTAAGCTAACACGCGGTGTACAACCTCTGATTGCGAAAGACACGCATAAGTGGCCAAAAAATTTTAACAGTGGGTGGAAATAACTCAATGTTACGGAGCTTAGCGTGACAAACTTTATTCACCCATGCTCCTGAAATAAAAGTCTCTCAAGATTGTTATACATGATATATAACCATTAACTTAACGTTTTTCATTCTCGAGGCCGACTTGCATATTCAAATAATTACACCCTCCACATTGGATCGCTGGTGCACGCGAAACACCTGCTATCGTAGATAGCAGTACATTTGTCCCGAAACGACCTACAGATGTAATTCTCGATACTAGACCTTCTATTTCTAAGCCCTTTGCCCTCATTATTAGTTTGCTTAATTATTTTATAAATTAATCACATGTATATATGGACTAGGTCAGTTACAGGAAACCTTGAGTCTCGTTCATTTTCTTTATGGTCAAGTGTCATCCCTTCTTCTGTTCCTCTCCTTGTTCTTGTTCTTGTAAATAAACCTATAATTTTACTAATTATTTACACTTATTCCTGGTTGCACCACGTCCTTCCATCTTCATAGAGGTAACTTCCTTTGGGGTCGTTACAACAGAAGGTTCCAACATTGATAACCATCTCTCACTTCCAACACCGAAACTAATAAGTTGTGAAAAAGCAACGGTTAAATGTGCTCCCCTGCCTTGTTTTATTACAATGCAAGCTTCTGCGCTACGTATAAGGGAGATCCCCACCTTACAACACAGCGTACAAAACCGCCTCCGCTAGTTGTGCAACTTGTAAAGAGGAAAAATATCAACTATCACCCAGCAAATAATTTTTGCGGAGACCTAGTCCTCTGATTCAATGTATATCTTATAACTGTCGAATTCCACTCCAATTTTAAGTACAATCCCAATAATATCAAAGGCCCCCTGCATAGGCGCGAAAAGCAGCTCTCTTGACCGCAACAACTATAGCAACAGTAACAACAACAGATGCCATAAACTTTTCAACGACGTTGGGAACAGTCAAGAGCTTAGTTAGCACTGCGTGAACTATGAAACGGAAAGGAAACATCGATCCGTTCTTTTGTGAATTAGATTAAAAAAAGAGACTCTTTATTGCGCTCGGGAGTACTGATTACGGCTCCACTCTACTGCTTCGAATTTAATGCATAAACCGGCGAAGGAAAGGGTGATACTCCTAGTTCTTGCTTTTAAACTGTGGTGTCCAAAGAAATCGGTGAAAGAAAGGGAACAAGTTTGCTAAGTAGTCCATAACTCGTAAGGTGTAGAAAATTTTTCTCAGGGCAGGCCATAGTTACAAGTGCTGACATTAAAATTTATTCCGCAGAAAAATTGTCATACATTTTTAGTTTTATCCAAAGTGCTTTTTTAAAGTGATCGGTTGGCGGAAAAGGGACTTAACAAGACTGTTAAGGGAACTTGTAGTCCCGTCATGCGCTAGTATTAGTTTATTCTGCGTCTGGCAAGTGGATCATTTCGGTAAAGCCTGCTAAAAAATGGATTGATTTTCATGATTTCTTTAAACTATCCTTTTTTCTATTTAACATTCAGCTTGTTCATCATCTATTATGAAGTTAAATAATAAAAAGTTAATAAATTCTTGTTAACTGAACCGTTATTATTTAAACTCTCGTGGTGGTTCCCACGCATAAGGCAAGCTATGAAACTATACTCAAGATAACCATAGAAAACAAAGCATAACCATAAAAATTAATTAAGAAATAAGATTTTAGATAAGATAATCAATCTTACAATCAACACAATTTTAAAAATTTCAATATATTATATTTTTAAAATTACATCTAGTTAAAAAGTAAGCTAAAAATTTCTGGTGTTTATAATCTTACAGTATCTAGTTTCTAGAATTTAACTTTTTTAAATAAAGATGAAAGGGAAATACTAGACTTCTCTTGTTCCTCTTTCTTATATACATTATTCTCTTTCTATTTTTCATTTTTTTTCCTAAGCTTGTATTCGTTTACTTACTAATTCTTTTTTATTTATCTGTTTTAATATCTCTCTAATTTCTAAAGCTGTTAGCGCCGAGCCAAGTCACACACCGGCAGAGGTGATCAACCTGTATATAAATATCTGAAAGGGCTAACGTGCGCATTTATAGGATACACTCGTAAATTCCAGGACTTATTTAGAACTTATGCATTTGGTACATTTATCAAAAGCAACTGCAATTAAAATAACTTCGAGTTGCACGATTTACAGGGTATCGTGAAGGGTATGAGTGCATCTAGTAGGGTACTCGTCATTAAAAGTAGAAACTTGCCTTGCTGTAGCTGCAGGCTTTATATAAAAAGCGTAGCTAATTGTGGATTTCAACAAGCCATTTATAAGTGCAATCGTGTCGCACAAAAATAACTTGCACTTCCCGAACAGTTTGGGGTCAAAGCGCTTGCTATTACCTCCTTCACCTCCGGCACAATGTTGGCGCTTTGCCGCGCAACGATATTATGTTGTCGATATCGATCCTTAGTTATTTTGCCCAAATACTCCAAAAAAGTTCTGCACTTCTGGAAGAAAGGAGAAAAGAAAGCGCAACGAGTTTTTTTAAAATTTCGACTTTAAGAGATAAAGTTGTGGTTTCCATGCATTAAAAAATTATACATGCGTTACTCGGTGGCCTCAAGGGCTCGTTGCGTTTAATTTTTACGAGTAGCATTAAAGTGTGGTTTAAGCAAACTTACAATCTAAACATAAAAGTTAAAACCTTTCTCAGTGGCTGAAAGTTGTTTATTTTACCAGATAATTTAAAGTAGGTTTTTGTGTTTTTTCTTACCCTTTGGGTTTCTGCAACATGAACAAGTTTTTCGTAAATTTAGTAGATCTACTTCAATTTTTTTGGTTGCAATTATGTTTGTGTCAAAATTATAGTTTTACTGGAGTAGAAAACGATAATCTACAAATTAATGATATCCGGTTTTTAGCGAGTGGAAATAACTTTCTCTCGTTAGTGGCTAACTCTCCTTTTGAACTCTTTAATGTTTTAGCAGCTTCGAACACTTCTAAAGATTTAATAAATATGGAATTTCACATAAATCAGCTACTTAAGCATCATGGAATTCGAGCCTTTGAAATTGCCTTATTTCTAAAATGTAAGTTCTTTTTAACTCCAAACAATACCAATTCTCAAAATAAAGTTACAGTTCAGGACATTTATAGCGTGTTATCTATCAAAAATTCTAAGAAACTCCTTTTTGGTTGTAGGTTCATTGAACTCCTACCAATTTTTAAAAATTGGGTTGATAAAAGCTTTAATGATCCTCCCATAATTATTATACTGAGCATAGTGAATGACAATGACATACCAGCATTATTTCGAAGAAATTTTGCTAATAATATGACCCTAAACCTTAAGTTAACTGAAGATGCAGTACGTAGAATATTTCCAACTTCGCAAATAATTAAACATAATTACTTATATAAAAAAGATGAAGGCTTCCTTCAAGGGGAAGTAACTACCACAATAACCTGGCCGACTTTAAAAGAATCGCGTGGAAAAGTTATGTTTTGGGTAAACATGAATAATAATAACGGAGTTTCTAAACTTAAAAGTTCTATTTTCTTTCCGGTTCTTTCAGGGGCTGGGCCTGTAGCAGTAGTTGACGATTTGGACGTTAAAAAAATTAGTTTCTTGGTTAAAAAAAATTTTATGGTTTTTACAAGAGCCGAATGCAGTTCTAAAAAATTAAGTTGTGCTATAAAATCGGGTGCTCAGGTTATTGCTGTCACTCCTTGTTCCTTAGCTAAAACGCTTTCCCCTTTCATAAAGGTCTCTCTTCCCGTTAACATAAGCTCTGAAGGAGATACAAGCTGCATTTTTCCTACAAAAAAACAAGATTATGGTGTATCCAAAATTTTTAACTTTGCTTTTATGCCAAAATTCAATGTAGATAGCTCAATGGAGGCTAGCACTTTCAGCTCTTTTTATAATTACTCTCCCTCAACGTTTGTATTAAATCAGCATAACGTTTTCAGACTTAGAGGTTCCAATCAATTTAAATACAATGACAATATTTATTGGACGAGCATTGCTTTAACAGTGGTAACGTTAACTCTATTGCCTCTTTTCTTAATGGTTCTATTGACTTTACTAGCTTTTAAGTTGAAAATTTGTCAAAATTTATTCACAAAGGCAAGTTTCAGCGTAAAATTTATTCTATTTTTTTCCTTTTCACTTTACTTTTGTGGCGCGTGCTTCTTTTTTTATGGTAACTACCAGATGCTATTATCTCTAAGAGATCTAGGTGATATTCGGCAACGTATTGTACGAGACCTCGACAACCTCCGAAATTTAACCCTGTCGCTTGAGGAAGGAGCTTACCAACAATCCGATTACAAATTTAAAGTGCCCTGTATTTCCCTTTTTACAAAGTTTATAGCCCTCTTAAGAAAGAGTATTAACAAAATTGGAAAAATATCAAGAACAAATGGCATGAAAGTGCTAGAATACCGTCAAACTCTGGTGTATTATACAGATGTTACCGTTAAAATGATAAACATTCTTAAAACAATACATGTATTATTTTACTTAATGGGCTCGTTAAGTTTACTATTTATTCTTTTTTTATTAGTCTTTTTAGTAACTTCTCGGGTTTATACAAAAGTTCGATATTTTATTACTTCCGTTCTTATTACTTTTCTTTTCTTGCACCTTTTAGTGTTAATGATATACTTCTCAGGGTCCTTGATATTGTCGGATGTGTGCTTTAACCCGGATGCAATTGTGTCTAAATTTTTAAAAGATAAAGAAGAAAACTTTCAGATTGTAAAATACATTTTTAATTGTGTTGGTAATGGGAATGATGAAGTTGAAAGGTATATTGATATCATTAAAAGAAACCTTGAAGGCGCTAGTTCCCTACAGAATACTGTTTGCCCTAATGAAAAAAAAAATTTCAGTAGCCATTACAGCCCTTTCGTCCGACTCTTGGATGATGTAAAAAATAGTTTGTTCAAAACTGTTTCCTGTTTAAAGCTAAAAAATTTTTATGTGACACTGGTTTATGAATTAACATGCCAACGGACAACTAATTCCCTTTTATATTTTTTTGTGGGCACGTGTTTGTTGGTCGTCGCCCTGGCATGCTTCATTTTTGTGTATATTGGACACTCTCGGTTTGTCCTTAAAAAATAGTCCAGAATAAAAATTAAGTTGGAACCTCAACTCTGCATTTTAATTAATGAGGCAATTATATGGATTTATAAAGTGGCTTGTCTATTAAAGCATCGCTCCCATAGCTTACACTTTTACATGTGTTATATGCTAATTAACTTCCAAAAAAAAAGGGCGACATGGGTGCTTATTCACTTCGTAATAAGTTTGATAGTTTTTACAGATAGTGACTTGCTCATATTACAAGGTCTTTTGTAGTTTAAAAAGCTGTATATTATATGCGTGCATAGCCTTAGGCTTTACTATCTACGTTTATTTGTAAGAAGTATCCGTAGTATTTTCAATAGCATAATTGAGTTTAGTTAAAGGAAAAGCAAAGCGGAGACAGATAAATTATAACTTTTATAAACGGTGGTCATAAAGATCTTACTATTAAGAACTACACCTAAGTTATAATACCTTTTAATAGGAAAATTTCATAGCAGCAATTATCGTTCTAAATATTAGAAATAGTTTACTTCTCAAGTTTCGGTTTGGTTCAGTATCAAACTAGTAATTTACCGTTTTCATAATTTTTTTTCATAATTTTTTTGAGTCGACTTGCAAGCACAGTTCGCAAACTTTTACAATTATTAAAAAGTAGAAAAGAACTGTGTAGGCTAGATTTTGTTAATCCCCTACTGTCTGAGCGACTGTGTTTTAATCCCTTAGTAGTAATACTTTCTAGAATTACTCTTTCACAGGATATTAGTGATTTCCTGTCTCACTAGTTTATGTCATGCTCGCTTTTTTCTCGTGTTAGCAATTGATAAAATTCGTTTAATTAAGTCAATAATAGAGTAATACACCTTTGACTTCCTTTTCTAAACATTTTGTGGGTTTAAATTTACCGAACTCACGACGCCTTAAGGTGAGAACACTATTACTAGCAATGACTTTGTTAACTAAGGTTAATTCTAGCTCTCTCCGCTCGTAGCGTTATAATTAAACTGTAGCACTTACAACCAGAAAATTGTATAAAAATATCGATTTGTTTAAATTGCTTCACACTCGCACTTGAGAACAGGTAGAGAGTGAAACTACTTACGTACACAACATACAAACTAATTAAAGGCGACGCCTCGTAGAATACGAATTTATATATACCTTTATTCCTCAAACGCAAAATATAAAGGCCCCAGTGGGTAGTTTTTATAAATAACAATTTTTTGTTCGGGGGGTTTTATTTCCTATTTTTCATTTCCTTGTATAATACTAATATATAAACTATATACAATTTTCTTAACTTTTTATCATTACCTATTTTTATAACTATTCTTTATTATGTACTTCTATATACTTATCTATCTTTTTAAAACTTTTAATTAGAAATATCGACAGCTATCTCATTTTTAGCAACTTTGCTAAGATTGAAGCCTTCGAAAAAGAAGTTTTGGGGACGAAGACCTAGTGGTTACACCACTAAAGATGTTTCGAAAAAAAAAAAATTAAATAAAGTCTTTCTCCCAGGATAATAATAGAACAGTAAAACACCTACTCTACCATGTCTACCAAACGAAAGTCAACTAACATTTATCTCCAGTAACGTCTTGAAAACGAACAGTTTCAGAGCAAGTAATTGGGCTTTTTTTTACGAAACAAAACCTTATAATTCAAATTATTAACAAAGAAGAATACTCACATGATAAATAAAAAGAAGAATATCGGCCCAAATTAACAAAAGTTTAATTAAAAAATAAATTTTAAGTCAATAAAGCTGTTAATACTTTTCACTTGGCTTTAAATTTACCCTCCAACTTTCCACAAATTCCAAAGCTTTGTATAACTTTTTGACACCAAACATTGCATATACAATTCTTATGCCCTCCCTGAAGACAAGCTCCTAAAAGTGGATTTAAGAGACCTAAGATTATAACTTATTGTCAAGATTGAATTCTTTCAAAAAAGAAAGTGTTCCGAATGCCAACTTTACGGGAACACCTACGAAAACATTAATGCCAAACTCTATAAAGTGAAATGCACAAGAAGAATACTTTTCTTTGACCGGTCTCATCCCATAGACGAGTCTATGCTTGCGTCAAACTGCAAAGGTAATTTTGCAAATTAACGCGGGCAACGCCCCTACAAGAGTAACCCCTGCAATTAAAGTTTTTTCAACTATTTTTACTTCACCATTACTAAGCCAACCCAATCGAAATTCTTAATTTTCAATACTACTGCTAAGACGACCTTGTCTCATCGCATAAGAGGCAAGAAACTTAAAACGCAACTAGCAAGTTTGTCATTTATATAACCCTCTCCACTGATGTGCTCCTTAACTTTTTTCATTCCTTTGAAGATCATCCCCTACGTCTATAAAGTACGTAATCTAAAGCTAGTTTTTTGTAATTATATAGAAAATAACAGGTCGATACTGCTTTACTCTGGAAAACCCACCTCAAACCATATCACAAGATCAACACTCAGAACTAAAGTTATTCATTGTAACTCAGGTTTTATTATAAAAAAAAATTGGAAAGGTTTGATAATAAACCTTTAAGCAAGTGGTGTTGCTATATCCGTCTAGTCTTTAGAAAAATATGCATAATTTCAGCTTTTAAACTTCCTTACGTGAATTCGACAATGCGGTAATATTTCTTCTAAATGTTACAACCCCTTATAAAGTTATCATATAAAGATAGGATAATGAAACTAACCATAGTTCCTAAAACCACAACACTTAATAATCAAAAAGCGCAAGCCACGGTACGAAGTGTTTCATACTAACGACGTTGAAATACCACGAAGTTCTAAAGCTGAGTTTATTAATAATAAAATTAGACAAAAGAATAATAAACATATTAACTTTAGCATCCTTTACAGATAGTGCCATTCTAATTTTAATAACAAAATTTTTGTTTTTATAGCGTTTATTTGTTTGATACTTTACAGTTTCACCTTCTTTACTGTTATTTTTAAGAACTGCAGGTTCACCGTAAATAATTGCTTCGTATATTTACAAACTTTCCATGCTTTGTATTAATTGTACGCCTAAATCTTTAAAAATCTCCCTAAAAAAAAAAAAAATCTTTATTTTAAATGACTAAAAAGCTTCCACTGAAAAAGTTCACATCGGAATTCTTTAATATAAAAGGTTAAAAAAATTAAATACTAACGAATATAGAAGGCATCTTCGTTCTCTGCATCTGTAAGTTGAGCTAAGCCTCATGAAGCCCTCCTTTAAAAAAATAATTAACACCACCAATGTGCATACATACTACGAGGAGGCAGCAAAAAGACAAAGTTGTAAGCAGTTGATTTTACTTATATATTAAACAGCATTTCCCCGGTGCTCAATTGAGTCAATAAACTTCGAATACACGAGCTCTCAAACAGGTTTTTAGTCGTCCACGAATACAACCACAACTTAGCTTTCAATCATCCTGCTAGAAGTGCGCCTTCCTACAACTTGTAAGTCTTTTCGCTGAAAGACAATTAGTGTGTTTATCTATCCGTTCTTAGAGGGCAACGGCATCATTTTTAAAAATTGTGGCCGGCAGCTCAACCTGTAGTTAGTGATGAAGTGTATTACTGCGCATGCACCACGGCGAGTTGTTAGGTTTAGCAGTTTATTTTGTCTCAATTGAAGCAAGAACCTTGTCGCCGATATGTCTTAGGGTTGCTATTTTTTTTTAATTACCTAACATACTACAACTAGGTCCTATATATAAGAGGGCCTAATATACTGTGCACGAAAGCTCACCCAAAGGAGCTTACACTATCATGACTGTCCCTCAGGGATCAAAAAAGTGGAAATATAGGGCCCGGATTTCCGCCATTCGACCTAGTGTGATGGAAAACCGATAAAAACCGCCATAGGGAGAGGCAGTCTTAAGCCTTAGATTCGAGGCCCCCAGCATCGCCCAACTCCAGTCAGAATCCTCTGGAAGGGCGTAGCTTAAATAATGACTATGCTAAGAGACTACGCAAACGCATGAGCTCTTTAAAGTTCACAAGTTAACGAACACCTAATAAGCTCTCCGTTTTGTCTCTTACATTTTCTCCACGCCACGACCACCCTGAAGGCCACAGCGATCCCCCATTACCTTTACTCCTGTACCCCGCGCATATTACCTTCCGCTGCACCACCCCAGAGATTAGCAGACCTCTTGTTCATGATTACGATCCATTCCAACTCCGCCAGGCGAAGTCGCTTTCCAACATTCTTTTGAGTTTACGGTGCTTCCGGGAACTTCAACGTATACAGAACTATCCAATTAACTGTTTTACATGAACCTGGTGCTCCTGAAAGTCAAGACACGTGCCTTTTGCTTATGCCCTACGAGTACCAAGATTTTTAAGGGCGATTCCCTGCTCGCTTGGCAAGTTAGGCGATGTGCGTTTAGAGGAAACGATTTCTATGGCAAACAGAGCTCGTACCCGCGAAGCCGCTTGCGGCATCGTCGTTGCCTGCAACAGCCTCTCCACGCTCATACCGCGCTTAGTATCGATTGTGCCCGCGATATCAATACTCGTAGAGTTGCTATTGTGATTAGTAAATACAAAAATATAACGCTAACCAAAACTTGTCGAAACGTGATTGTCCCTCCAATGAACACCCGCTGCACCCTGAAAGTAATTGTTTTAGTACATATATATATATATTATATTCATTTTTTATTATAATTTCGGTAATTTTTAGTTAATTTTAGTTGTTGTAAGTTTTATTTTAATTAAAAACTTATTATTTTATTATTTTATACTCAAAGTATATTTTTCGAAAGGTAACTTGGGTATACAAACTTCCTTCACTTTGTACTTTCGACGCTTCAAACGTTGAAATAAAATTTAGCACTTTAAGCGAATTAACAGCATAACTATTTTTCCATAAATTATTATTTTAATTTTATAGTGTAATATTATTACCTTGGGTTATTTTGTACTTTGGATTTTAATTGGCGTAACTTTAACCTTTTAATATAGACAATATTCTTTAAGTTATTCGTATGCTACAAAACTTTTAATATTTATTACTGTTTAAACAATTCGTTTTTTATTTTCGACAACGCTTTTATTACTACGGTCTTAAATTTTTTGTAATTTTTATATTGTGGTATGATTGTCTCTAGTCTTCAATTCTTGTAAGCTTTAAAATTTTCTCGCTGCTTTTTTGTGTGAAACTTTTTATACTTTTTATACTTTTTATATAGACCTTATTATTAAATCCTGGCCTTGTATGTATTTGAATTGTTTAAAAATTTGTTAGATTTTTAGGAAAAGTAAATTGTTTTCGGTTTTTTTTTATCAAATTAAAATGGTTATCTTATATAGAACCGCTTAATTATGCTTTTTATAAGTTGTTACAAACTGTTATGAGAACGTTTTTTGCGCTGATTTTATTATATTTGCTACCTGTCGGGTCAATACTAATATAAACTGCCCTAATGATGTTGTTCTTAACTTTATTTTTTTTTGGTGCGTATTATGGGATTTGCCACGAGGTGGCCCAGCGCTTTGAACAATTGTCTCTTGCATCGGTCGCAGCGGCGCACTTATTCGTTGAAGCAAGACTTTTGTACCAATAAGGTTTGTTACGGCTGTGCAAGTATTGTGCATTCTATCAGGACGAACGCTTTTTGCCTGTAGTCGCTCGTTTTAAACTAGTGCACAACAGTAACCACGTGATCGGTCTCGTGGTCAATGCTTTACCACGTGCTTTGTACCTTTGGCCGTTTTGCGTATATTTTTAAATATATTAATTTGCATCATTTTATTATTACCAACTCATTACTCAATTTCTAAAGAATATTATTTGTCCTGACAGTGCCGTACTAGCTGAGAGACGTCCAAGTGTTGTCCATTTGCTCACACTCTTTAAATTTAATAATAAATTTTCAGTTACTTTTTAAATTCTATTTTGGAAGAAAATATATTTTTTTAAATTTGTATTTAAATTTAAAATTATGGCTGCTTTGTTCACTAAAGAAAATATTTTTTAAGTACTGATTTTTTTGACCGTAGTGCGTTAATTTTATGAATCGGGGGCTTTTTTTGTGAGCTGAATTCAAAATTTTTAAATTTAGTTTGTATTTATGTTAATAATAAAATTAAAATATTACTTTTTACTATAATTATAATTATAGAAAAAATAAAGATGATTATATATATCTGTTTTTATTTTGATTATATATATATATTTATTTTATTATAATAATTTATCGCTAAAATTATATACATTTATATTTTAGTAAACGGGGATATTAATACCTTTTGTATAATTTGCTACTTGAAATTAGTTTTTGTATATATAATAAAGTATTTATTTTTATAGCAAAACTTTTATTTATTTATAAAAAAGGTAACTTGAATGTTTTTATTATTCAAGTGTATTAAAAACATTGAAAATATATAGGAAAATATTATTTTTGCAGGAAAATGAATAGAATGATAATGGCTTATGATAATGACTTAAACGTTCCATATATTATTTTTTTATTTTTAATGAAAATATTGAGAAGTTATACAACAATTTCAATTTTTTTGCAGTAAATGCTTATAAAAATAGAAAACTTAAAGAAGCTTTTATTTGTTGTAAGAAAGGCAAGTTCAATATATTTCTGGTTAATAATCTGAAGTGATGGTGACCTAACTTCCCTGCTGCTCATTTCAAAGCAGCCTTATTCTCCTGACGAATAAGTTTATAAGGCTGCTTATTATTAGTTAAACCTATTCATCAGTCATTATTGTTTAATAAAGCCTGGGGGTATTTTCTTTTTGTAGCTCACAGTTTGTGGTTCGGACTTTCCTTATTATTTATTTGTCATTATTGTAGCTGAACGGTTTTTACAGGGGTCATTGGTTAATAAAGCTGATTGCCCTTTGTTAAAGCAATTGAACTGTTACTGCTGTTAGCCCTTTTATTATTATATTTTGGGCTTGCAGTAATCTCGCCAAGGTAAAGGTTTGGCGTCTCTACGAAGAAGCTTGAAGGCACTACAATTGAGCCATCCGCTTTGATCTTAACATTACGCAACTGCCATGGGTAACGTGCTGGCGGGGCCACCTGCATCTATATATACTGGCAACTAACACTCCATACAGTGTCTATTATATTCTTTTGGAAGGAAGGTCGCTCTTATTCATTATTATCTTGCTATCACTAAAAGTCAGGCTTTTTTTTTTGGTCATGTGGTTTAGGACTTTTGAACGAATCTATTGAGCTCTGTAAAGCGTTGATTAGTTTAAAGCCCGTTGCAAACAGTCTACCGCCTTGCTTCTGTTTATTCTGCTGTTGGAGGGCAAATATATCCTCTTTTACTGGACCTTCAATCGGCCTAATGCTTTGTCCTTTTATTTAGTGAGCAATTTTAGTCGCTCACGGACAATCCTGCCCTGATGGGGCCATTAGTTTTGAAAAGTTTTTTGATCCACAAATTTACACCGTTCTTTTTACTACGATAAGTGGGAATTTATATTATTCATTGGTGATCGATGCCAGCAGACAAAACACTAAGTCTTAAAAATAAGTTTAAGCGATTGCTTATTGGCCCGTATTTTATGACATATTAATGAATGAACGTAATAATATAATTAATAGAAGGGATGATAAATAAATGTTTTTTACTTACATTGGAGACCAACCAACAGCGCAACTGATGTAAAAGGTATCCCTCAAATCTACGATCGTCCACGTGTCATGTTTTCATTACTACATCTAAATATATGTGATTATATTCTTTTTTATTAAACTTTTACATATTTAAGATTTTTATGTACGCGCTTAGCGCCAATAATGGCAGTTTTCGGATTAGTAGGTGAAACTAAAGTCCTTAATATTCGTCATTTTTTTTAGTGAAGTAAAAAAGGGAGCCTTGAACGAGTTATTTGCCTCCTGTCCTGCCCCATACAAAGCACGTGGTTGGCTATTCGACGATTATCGGAATAGAGCATTGCAGGCCTACTTTATTATGAAAATTTTTGTAGAACAGCTAATATTTATTACAAACATCATTTAATTATATGAACTATTTATTGCGACAAGTTTAAGTTTTCGCCAGGACTTTAATGCTGGTTCAGCGAAAACTTGCAAATGATCAGTCATGTGTATCTGCGTAGCTTATGATTAGCAGTTTCCCTAAAAATAAGAAAACCTTCGTCTTACATTTATTATATACAAATTTTTTTTAAAGGCCTTTTTGCTAGACAGTTACTTTATAAGTGCTCATAAGCAATATTACACCGAAATAGAATTGTATTGCATTTTCATATCGTTATAATTACTATTATATATTCAAGTAATATTAATTTTCACTAGAGAAAAATTCGGAGATCCTATGGCCACCATGCCACGTGAGCTCTTCACTAGCCATGTGGTCTTTCCTTTTGCACGCATTAGACTACCCGGAATAAGTTCGTTGGGTTTGCAGCAATACTATCCGCTAACCTTATTATTCGTCAGTTGAAAAAAATGTTTTGAAGTATTGCGGTGATGTTATATTTAATAAAGAAAATTAAACTAATTATAAATTTATAATGAAAATTTTAAAAAAAATTATTATAAACATATATTTGTTAGAAAAAACTTAAAAATGTGAGAATAATTATGTTTATTGATATTATATTTACTTTCGTTTTTTTTATTTGATTAGCGAGAGCGTCTCCACTTTTTAATATGTCCGCTTGGTTGTTGGAAAAAGTATGCTTTGCTTTTGTGGAAACGAGCTCTAGCCGGAAAATAAATTCGCTTTACGTCAAGCATAATATTAATAACATTAGTTATAATAAGAATATTAAAAGTGAAGGTGTTTTATTAATAGATTTCCAATAGGTCAACAAGGAAATACCACAATTTTTGAGACTTCTTTTTACTTTTGTTCACCGTAAATTTTTTCTTCGAGTCTTCGTTTACGCATTTCTATTCATTAGTAAATAAATAATATTTTGAATTATATATTATTATGCCTCTTTTTCTTATTATAAGCAGATTTAAAAAAATCGATAGAGTGTGAAAATTTATTTATAAACTTTTTCATTAAAAAATTAATGTAGAGTAGAAGAGAAGATAACTATTATTATGTATTCGCTGTTTATTATTTATTCAATATATGAAACTTATTAGATTAAATAGTTATTATTATTTTTTTAATTTTCATTATAAAACTTTCTTTTTTTTCATTTTAATATTAATTTTTAATATATATTTTTTTAAAATCATAACTTTGTGGTAAAATATTGTTATATAATAACAAATATAATTAAAATATTAATTACTTTATGAAAAATTAACAATAAGTTTTTATATAGTTAAGCAATAGTTATAAGTAAACCAGAAAATGGAGCCAATCGTCTTTGTCTTCTAAATTCATAATAGTACCGCGAAATTCTTCGGCTGGCGGAATATCCAACAACATCCTCTGGTAGGTTTTTGCTTCAAAACCTGTTTGATCAAAGTATCTGGAATAAATAGTATTACTAAATAATTTGAATAATTATAATAAAATTAAAAAATAATAAATAATAGTAATAAATAAACGTTAAGACTCTAATGCTAACTTATTGTTCAACACCAACCTTTCTGCTAACATATCGTAAATTTGGCATATGAGGTCATCTGAATTTGCGGAAGGCTTCTTGGTCTGCTTAACGTGCTTATAAAAAAAAATTAATTAAAAAACTAAGAAATGTTTACTTGAAGAAATGATATAGTGACAATCTTCTAATTATTTAATTAAAAATAAATAATTTAAAGCCATGAATGTTGTGTAACGTAAAAAGAATAATAATAAAATTGTAAGGAAGTTTATATTACTCTTTTTATACATAAGATATTAAGACTAATAAAAAACTAAATGTGGAGTAAAAAAGTTTACGCGTGTTTTTTCAGAAAAACAAGTTAAAAGTTTATATTTTTTAGAGTTGTGTTAGTTCATTAAAATCAAGAAGTTTTTTATATTATATATCACACGTTTACGGTCTATTTTTAAGTTTCGTTTTTTTGTTTAAATGTAAGAAAATAAGAAAAAAAAATGACTCGAGTTCCTGTACTTCTAGCCTCGACTTTCTGCGAGAGAGCGTACAGTTGATCTTCCGTTATTGAATGGCTTAGCAATCTTAGTAACAAGTAAAAATTTAGGTCTACGGATAGTTTTAGTTTATAAATCGTATTTGAGTACGAAAGTACTTACATACTCTTTAAGTCGACTTAAAACAACCATCCACACATCTATATATACTTTATGGTACGATTAAAAGTTTGTAAATTGTATTAAACCGTAACGTCCACAACTATTTCAAAAGAGCTATAAGTTTCTTTATGTTTTACTTGCTCACTTATAAATTAATTTTTGATCGGATTGTTTAGTTTGAATGATATGGAGCCAGGTTTAGATAATAAGAAAAATACTTAGATAATTATTAGTATATAATATATATATATATATACATGAAGAGTACTTATTGTGCAGGGAGATAACTTATAAAAAAAGTTAGGTTGTGCGAGTTTTGTTTGCTAGGGTGCAATAGACTTTTGTAAGTACAGTTATAGGTTGTTCGCATTATTACAAACGGAATTTTTCTCCAGAATATTTTATCTCTCAACTCCTGCACCTGAATTACTTACACTAACTTAGTTCACTGGGTATAAAAACTGTAGTATGCTTGAGCTTCCGCAAAAACAAGGAGTCGTTATTATTTGATATAATGGCCGTTTTGTAGCTGAAGAGATTGATATATATGATCCTATAAAAATGTACCCTTTTCGCTTCTCTTACGGCTATATATTGCTTTTTTACGCACAAAAAAAAAAAGTTTTCGAAAAAAAGTATTTAGGTACTTCTCCGGGCTCCAGTAATTTGTCTTTTTACTTTTTAAAAGCAAACTAAGTCATTTTTTTACGGTTTTTTTCTCGTAACTTAATGTAACTCTCATGAGCTTTTCTAAAAGTTTACCACTACTTTTTCCTGTACCCTTGCTCATTGCAAGCATCAAAGCGCATAAAATTGTTTTAATAGATTTAAATTTCTAAACTACGCCAAGCGCGAGTTTTAAAAGACATTTTATACTTTTGAACCACAAATAATAAATCTATTTTTTTACAAGATACACAACTTTTCTTTACTAAAAATAATTTATTTTTTAGCTACCACCATTAAGAATTGTAACGTGAGGATTCTGAACACAATATTTGTGAGATTTGGTAATATACATATTAATACGAAAAACGCAAGAACTGCTAAGTGTAACTTTAAACATGGATGTTTTTTTTTAAAGCTTAAATTTTTACTATAACTTTTATAAAATTCAGTAAAACTTGTAAAGCTATACTTTCTTCGCCTAGTTTTTTAATCTCAAAAACATGTTTATAAAAAAATTATAAATTCAATAATTATTTTATACACCAGCGCTCATCTAAAAGGTTAGCAGTAAATATAAACATCTTTTTAGTTTTTTTTGAAGGTTCTTAAATTTAGTGCTGCTGTTTATATAAATCTTGTGGGCTGCTAGTGGAATGATAGTGTTGTTTACTAGCATATCTACAACTCTTATCGTACGAATATAATAATTATATAAATACATAATAACAATTTATAATAGGATAATAATAATAATAAAATATAATAGTAAACATAAACTTTTTGCATAGCCCCATTAATTGCGGCATGAGCACCAAATTATCAGTTGGCGGAACTTCTTGGCACCGTACAATTTCGCTATTGGCGCATTATATATTTCATAAAAAATAATGAAGTAAAAGGACCAACCTGACACTAGCAGAAATGCTTTCAAGTTTTTTAACGTTAATGAACCCGCCGCCTATATACATAAAAATGTCGCCATTTTATTTAGGAAAACATGAAACTATTAAAACAAGGAAAAATTAGGATTAACTCAATAGAAACTTAGTGAATGAAAGAATGCTATTGAACCGTGTATCCACGTGTCCTGCCCGTCTTCAGTATAAATAAGGTCTCTTAGGTATAAACCTATTAGAGTAGAATAGTTAACCATATACTACTACTATTAATACTACTACTACTACTACTACTACTACTACTACTACTAATAATAATAATAATAATAATAATAATAATAATAATAATAATAATAATAATAATAATAATAATAATAATAATAATAATAATGACAATGAACTAACCAATATAAGGAATACAAAAACCATTTCTGGATCTCTGAACTTCACGGTAATTTCTAAAATTATGACTGGCTGAAGTAAAATTACGCAAATCTTCTAAAAGCTACCGAATATAAGGAAAATATCAAAACATTAGGCATTAAATTGTAAGCTCGAAAAGTTATAAATACAAGAAAGTAAATAATATAATTATCTGCAAATTATAAGGTGAACTGTTATTATTGCTACTAAGATTATTATGACTATTATTACTTTTCTATCCTTTTCGCTTAAATAAGTAAACGTGAGTTTTAAACGCTCGACGGTTGTATGCTGAAGAGCACCATCAATGGCCATCATTGTGTTAAAGTTGTACTGCTTTCTAAGGATCTAATAATAATAATAATAATAATAATAATAATAATAATAATAATGAAAGTTTAAATCAAGCATTTATCTAAAGTTTTTATATATAATAAACAAAATAGGGCACACCTGAGCAAGTTCGGCAAACTTTACAATGGTATGAGCACGTGCTTGCGGGTTGTGGAAGGAAAGAATCGAATGCACCACCCAGTAGGATGTATTGTTGAAGTGGCCGATCATTCGGTAAACTGGGCAATCCGGACAATTTTCCACCCATTTCTTCTCCCGTAACGTTTTTAACTAATAATAAATATCATAAAAAAACTTTTCTGCTAACTTTATATTAATTTTTCACTATATAAAGTTATAATACTTTAAAACACGGCTTCAATAAATGTTAGGGTTTCCTTTAAAAAATATCTATAAAAATAGTGAATGTCTTACACTTATGTTGGAAAGAATTTCGAACTCAAGAAGCGTTAATTGGTCAGCTAGCGCTTTTAACGGCAGCAAATTAATGCAACTGTCGTAGGCGGGCTCGACAGGCGGAGGCTGCGGATACGCTTTTTTATGCAGAAGCGCCAACTTCATATTTTCCGATTCTCTGGAGGAAAATTATGTTATTATTTCCATTAAAAAAAAGTTGAGTATCCCGCAGTACTAAAGGCTCTTTTTCAATAGCGCCTTTTAGGATTAATATTAGTAATAATAAAAAAATTCTTTCAAATCAAAGAATTGCACCGAAATAAAAATTTAAAAATTTTTTATGATAAACTGCTTGCATTCCTTTTTTTTATACTATTTCCTTAAATATTGTTAAATTTCTTATTACAACTAATTTTGTTTATAGTAATATATAAAGACCGTTAATGGCTAATTATTTTAAAAAGATGATGTAGCGCTAATAGAATACAAACCAAAGTTATCCATAATTATTGATATTATAAAAAAAATTAAGCGCCAGAAATTTATAAATAATATAAACAAACTTTTTAATTTAACGACTATAAATTTTTTTAAAGGAACAATTTTTTAAGGAATATATAATAAAATAGCTTCATAAAAAAATAATATATATTTTTTAACATTATATTTTATGGAAATTATATTTCGCGCATTTTTATTACAAGTATGGTACATAAATATTTTTCTAAATAAAATATATAAATATATATAATTTTGTTTTATATATTAAAAATATTATGCTTTTTACTTTTTTTAAAGTTTTCTATTAAATAATATATTTCTTGAAAATAAAAATAATATTAATAAATGATGATAAAAATAAAAGTTCTTTAAAAATAATGCATATAATAATAAATATTAAACTAACCACTTCTATAAAAAATATAAAAGTTGTGTAATATATTTGAAAAAAAAAAGCTTTTTCTTTAATAATCGTGATTAAAAAAAGAAGAATCATAAAAAATATTACAATTTTTTTATATGAGAAAATAAATATAAAAAATAATTCTTTACAACAAATAAATGCTAAATAATTATACTATAAATAAAAAATTAATATATAACAGTGAAGTATAAACAAAAAATATTATATAATATTTGAAACGGAGATAAATATATAAAAATTATAAATAATAATAATTATTATATAATTTAAATATTTATAAATATAATAATTTATAAATAAATAAAAGTAGATAATAATAATATAAAACTATACAACAATTAAAAAAGAAATATAATAAATAGAAAAATAATACCAATAACATTAATATAAAACATTTGGATACCAGAAGAAATAAAATAAATAATAACAATATTAGATGTAATTATTATAATAATAGAGCTTAAAGAATATATAAATTATTATAATAATAATTAATGTAAAGAATTGTACTTTTCTATAGTAATAAGAATAAAATTCACAAACTTCTAATATTAATAAAGTGATTATAATAGTAATAATTATAAAAATAATGCGTAAGAAATATCCTATATTTTTATAATGATAGTAATATATTAATAAAAAAGTTTACTTTTGAAATTACTTTTAATAATAACAATAATACTAACAATAAACATGCTTATAATTATCATAAGAATCTGAAATTAGAATAGTTTGATAATAATAAAGTGTTTAACAATTGTTTTATTTTATGATAGAAGTAACATAAATAAAAAAGTACTTTTTTATAACAATGACAATAAAAAAAATAATACAAGTATAAATAAAACAAACTTTTTACAATAATTTTATTTGTAGCAATAAATATAATTATATTAATATATAATAGATAATAAAATAACTTTTTCATAAAAAATATTAGTTACAAAAAAAGATTTTACTAAAATTCTTTTAAAATTAAAAAAATAGTAATAAATAAATAGAAACGAAAACTTCTATTGTAAAATTTATTAATAATAATAAAACAATAATTTTTTCTTACAGAAATAATTATAATAATGAAAAAATTGAGTTCCACAATGATTTTTGCGCAAAACACTTTTATTAATAAAACTTTCTATATATTATAATAATAATAAAATAAAGAAGTAAACAAAAACAATCACACAATAATAATAAGTAAAAAGGCATACTCTATTCTTTCAAGACTTCTTTTAAGTAATTCTCTCATTTTTAAGGAAAGTTCAAACGATTCGTCGTATTTTAAAAGTTTAAAAAACTCTTTCAGCAATTCGTACATCAGTAAATTTAATGAAATCTTTCCTTAAAAGTTATTATAAAAATAGTGAATTCAGTTAAAAAGAGCTTGAAGAAAGAACGAAATTTTTATCGCACAGTTTTTATTAAACTAATTGCCTTTCAAGGAAAGATTGGGCTCAGTAATATATTGCTTACCGTTATGTAAATTATATTACGAACTATAAAGACAGACATTTATCTTAAGACGATTTGTTGAGATAAATGTTCAAATATTGGCGGAAATTATGAAAGAGCGGATTGGTTTATAAAATTGCACACAAAATAATGAATTCCTTAAAATATTTATTCATAGTTTTGACAGGGCTTCCTAAAATTATAAGTTCCAACAACAACAAAATATATAATTTTTTTTTTTGTGTTCAATATTTTTTATGATTCATAATTTTATTAAAATTTATATTTACTTTATTTTATATTGAATATAAATACTTTTTTTTAATAAAACTAAGAATATTAATTTTTTATTCTATACAATAAGAAAAATTTAATTGGAAACTACCCAATTTTCATAAAGAATATTACATTAATTTATAAAATAATAAATTCTAATACTCTAAATAATTTTTATTAGTAATAATAAATATATTTAAGCTTTGTATTATTTATTATATTTAATTTTTATATATTTTATTGTTTATTATAAATATAAAAAAGTTTATAATATATAAAGTAGGCGAAAATATTATTATACCAACTTTATTTTTTTTTTAAATAAAAATTAAATTTCTAAAGCTAAACAAACTTATTATTATAAATGGTAATATTTCATTTTTATTATATTTTTAATATTTTTATAAGTAAAATAAATAATTATTATTTATTATAATATAAAAAAGTTTATAGTTTAATAAAAAAAAAAAATAGAAAATTTTATTAAAATAATCGTTATTATAATATAAAAGTAAATTTTTAATGCTAAACGAACTTATTATTTATGATGATATTTTATTATTATCATATTTTTATATTATAAGAAATCAATAATAAATATCATTATATATTATTAATATTAAAAAAAATTATAATATTAAAAAACCGAAAATATTTATTTATAAAGACATTTAATTATTAAAAATAAAAGGCGAACAAAAGTTTCATCATTTGAATAACTTTTTATTATTTTTAGTTTTTTTTATTATGGAGAAAGTATTAATGTTTACTTCTCTAAACTTTATTCATTTTCCTACTCATAAAATTTTAACACTAATGCGTGCAACATTTCAATATAAATATAATAAATAAATGTCTTTACAATATCCTTATAACCTTTTTACATTTTTTTCAGTGAATATAATAGTTTTTATTTTAATTCATTATTTTTTTGATTGACAATTCAAAAACTTTAGTATTTATTTCTTTTAATATATTCAAGATCCAGTAAAATTTATATGAATAAATATTTATGATAAAACGTTTATTTTAAATTATTTACTACCAGTTTTTGTCACCAACATCAGAAAATGCTTCTATATTATCCAATAAGATGATATGAACAAAATATGAAATAACCAATAAAAAAAGACAATTAATAGATATAACAAATTTTTTACTGGGTAATATAAAAACCAACGAAAAAAGAGCAAAAGTCTTTAAAATTTATGCATTTATAAAAAAGTAGATATAACAATACAGGTAAGCACAACATCTACCCACTAGAAAGAAGAGACACTGCTCAAATAAAATAATGAGTTTTCCTTCAGTATTGCACCAGAACAAAAATAAAAATATAATATAATTTTACCTGAACAGTTTTCATAAAAATCATCAATTTCCTGCTGAAGCCAGAAGCGCAGACCCATGCAGAGCGACATTTTCAACTTTTTTACTGAAGAGACTTCACTGCGAAAAAATTTAGGAACTTTATAGATCTAACTTGATTGGTCAGTCATGAGCAGTGAGCAGCCAAGAATAAAGAACCTCCAAAAACTTTCCCAGAACAGTAAGTGGGACTGAAAACCACCGCAGCGACCGCAAGAATATTTTAGGAAATTCCAGTGAATCCAGTTGGAAAGTTGCAGGATATCCTGAAATAGTCATTATTATTATAATAATTTAATATTATCATTATAAAAGTAACCAAAATGGCACAAATAAAACTGAAACAGATGATTAAAGTCCGCTGATTCGACGGTCACCCGAGTGTCACTTAGCAGTTCGTCCTCAGACGCGTCGCAGTAAATCTTTAGGATGGAATATTAAATATCTCAATTGCTTCCGCTGGTACAAATACTCGGATGGTAGGCTTCGTTATTTCTGTCCAATAAGGCAGTGATCTCAAGTATTTGGTGTCTCCCTCTTCCACTCTGCTGGATACCTATTATTATGTATAAATTAGTATAATAACCCTTATTATTATTATAATTTTCTTGTATATAAATAATATACAACACATATTTGTATAAAAACCAATAAATATTAGAAATTTTATAAAAAATATTGAGGTAAAATAAATATATATATAAAACTGGATAAACAAGAGAACAAAAGTTTGCAATAAAAATTATAGTACTACAGAAAATATATAAACTGTTTAGAAATAATAATAGTCTAATAAGTTTATTACTAGAAAATATTATAATTGATAATATTATATATACAAGTTATAATAAAATTGTTTATATTTTTATAATATATTTATTTAATAACAAAAATTAAAGTTTTTACTTCATTATACTATTTCCTACCTTTTAATTTTATTATTTTCATATTTATTTTTATTTATTATTATCATTAGCTCCTTTAATGTTCATAAAAAATACTGAAAAAGGCGTTTTTGGACCACGACGCAGCAACCAATGAAATGCTTGAAAATGCAAACTGCTGCCGTTTATAGAATGAGATTTACTGACGACTTGATATCAATTTGGTTGTTTTGGTCTAAAATAATAACTATTTATAACCAATTTAATACTTGAATGGGTGATTATATTTATAGTGGATGATACTGTTACTAATTATTATTATTAAAATTATTATTTTTACTTTTTTTATTATTATTATGAATTATATTATTACTTAAATAATTATTACTTCTACTTTTATTATAATTATAATTATTATTTATTACTTCTTAGTATATGATATTTTTATAAAAAAAACAAAAGTAAATATACCCGTGAAAGACAAGCGGAAATTCCACGAGACAAGTGGACCGCGTTTGAAAGTCTATTTATCACTAGTTCAAATTTCTGTTCTTCTATTGGTTGCTGAGTTGAGAATTCGTCTTGAATAAAAGATTCTAAAAGAGTTTCAGTTTCTCTAGAGAATTCTGAAAAGTATAAATAGTATATAATATGTATAATAATAAATAATAAATAATAAAAAAAAGAATAAATTAAAAATATTGAAAAATACACAAAATTATAGAATTGGTAAAAAAAAAATTTTATTATATAAAAATAAATAATTATAAAATATATAAATTAATAAATAATATATAATAAATAATAATAATAAATTCCAACAATGATGATAATAAGTACAAAAGATATAAAAAATGAAAGAAATAATAAAAAAAATAATATAATAATAAAGAAATAGATATAAAGTTTTCAAGAAAAATAAATAATAAAACAAAAATTTATAAAAGGCACAAGAAAATAAAAATGATAAAAATTTTTTTTTAAACAAAATAAATATTTAAAAATGTTAATAAACGTTAGAAATAATAAATAATGAGAAAAGAAAAATATTAAAAAGTATATAGATATATAAAGAAAATAATAATAAAATAAACTTCAAATGAACATTTTTATTGAATAAAAATGTTATGAAAATAAAAATATTTTATTATTATTTAAAAAAATAATAAAAAGTTCTTTAAGTACTGAAGTTAAAATTATTTATTTTAATATAAAATTAATAAAAAGTTATAAATAAAAAATTAAAAGGAGATAAATATATTATATTTTTATGTAAAATTAATAAAAAGTCTAAAATGGAACTAGAAATATTAAACTTCTAATAAAAAATATAAAAATAATAAAAGTTATAATAATGATAACAATTATTACGCAGAAAAATTATATGAATAATAAAATATAATTAAAAAATAAAAGAAATTTAGTAATAAAGTTTTTAAATTAATTATATAAAAAAATTATAAAAAAATTATTTAATAAATATAAATAAGAATCTTTTTTTAAAGAAAATAATAAATAATTGTTAAATGTATATAAAAGTTTAATAATAATAAAAAGAAAAACCTATGAGTTTTTTTTTGATAGAAGTTTCCTTTTTTTTAATAATAATTAGTTGATAAAATGAATATAAAAGATAAAAAAGAGTTAAATGTAAGTAAAATAATTATTTAAAAGTAAATTAAAAATAAATGGAATTAAAAAATTTTATAAAAATAAATAATAAATAAATGAAATATAATAATAATAAATAAGTTTATAAAAATAATTAAAAGTAAATAGAAAAAAAATATTTGTCGCTAATAATAATTAATTAAATTAAATAATTATTAAAAAGTATTTTAAAGCAAATAAACGTAAAAAATAATAAAAATAAAAAATGTATAAAGAATAAATTAAATAGTAATAATTAACTTACTCATTTAAAAAATGATATCAAACAAGAATTAAAAGTAAATATTAAAATTAAATAATATAAAAAATAATAAATTATTTCTTTAATTAATAATTAAATTAAGAAATAAATAATCAACCATTATTATAAATATAATAGTTTAATAACAAAGTTTTGAGTTTATGAAAGTTTCCCTTTCTTGATTAAAAAATAATTCATAGGTACGATATAAATATAAAAGTTTAATAAAAAAATTTTAAGTTAACAAAAGTTTCCTTTCGTAATAAATTTATAATATATATTTTTATATAATTAAATGTTGAATAAAAAAATAATAACTTTGATATAGAAGATTTAAGGCTATGAAAGTTTCAGTTTTTTTCAAAATTATAATAAATTTTTATATGTAAATAATAGTTGAAGAGAAAAATACAATAAAAGTTGAATAAAAATATTTTAAGTTTATGAAGGTTTTTTTTTCCAATTTTTTTTTACGTTAATAATAAATATTTATATATAATATAAAAGTTGAATAGAATAACAATAAAAGTTCAATAAAAAAGTTTTGAGTATATAAAAGTTTCCGTTTTTTTCAAAATATTAATAATAATAAGTAATTGTTATAAAAATATAAAAGTTAAATATAAATATAACGAAAGTTAATAAAAATAGTTTTACCGTTAATAAAATTGGAATATTCTAAGACTTCTTTGGTATAACTACATGTATATTCTTTAAAGTTCTGAAAAAAATAATATAAAACTTATAAATGAAAATAAAAAATATATACTAATAAAAAAAAATTCTAAAAAAAGTAATAAAAATATAAAATAAAATATTGTTTACAACAACTTTTATAAATTATAAAACAAATTTTTTAAAAAAAATTTCAATAAAAAATATAAATAATATATAAATATAATAATTTTTAAAAATGTAAAAATTTTATAACTATCAGGAAAATATACTAATATAAAATAATAAATAGTAAAAAATTCAAAAAAAAGTATATTACTATACTAATAATAACTTTTAAATATATAAAACTTTTTTTTTTTACTTATAAATAAAAAAAATATACTAATAAAAAATAATAAAAGGTAAAAAAGTAAAAAAACAAATAAAGAAAGCATAAAAGTTTTATGTTCAATCGTTATTGATTCATAATTTTATTATTATTATTATTATTACACAATATTAAAAAAACTTTTATATAAAACTTTTTAAAAATCAAGCACTATTATTAGGTGACAATATATTTATAGCAAAAAAAATAAAGTAACTTAAAAGAAATATTAATAGTATTAGATTTTTTTATAATGTTTTTATTTATAATAGACATACACTTCATATTTTTGTTATAATAATAAACTGAAATAATTATACAAAGGAAGAAAGAAAATAGTAATAATAATGAATATAATATTTTTTGGCAGTAATAAAAATATTTTAAAAAAAAACTATTATTATATTAAAATTAATTATTACTTTATAGTTATGAAAATTATAAATTTTACAAATTTGAAAGAAAATAATATTAAGAAATTTAAAAATTTTGTTATTTTAAAAAAAAATTTATAAATTTTACAAGAAAATAATAATAAATAAAAATAATATATACAGAAAAAAAAAGTATTGTTCAAAAACGAAAATTATAATAATACTAAAGTTAATATATCTTTTATAATTATAGAAAAACTATAAATTATACAAAAATAATAAATATTAGTAATAATAATTTAATATTATAATTATAGTTATAAAAAATAGAAAAATAATAATAATAATAGCGAATCTAATACTTTTAATGGTATTGAAAAAAAATTGATTTACAAAAAATATTTAATAATAAATTTAAAATTTCTTTATTGTTATAAATGATTTATAAATTTTCTAAAGAAGAAAGAAAAATAATAATGAATTTAATATTTTTTTTATTATTAATGAAAAGAAATATAATAATAAATTTGAAGTTTTCTCGGTAACTACAAAGAAAATATAAATTTTACAAAATATATAATACTAGTAAAAATAAATTTAATTACAAAAATGAAAGAAAAATATCTTGAGCAAAAAAAATTTTTAATTTAAATTTTCATAATAAAAAAATTTAAATTATTATTAAACATTTAAAAGTCAACTATAAAATATTAAAGTATTATATTTTTATTTATGAATAATAATACTAGGTAAAGCAACAGTTTTAGCCTTTAATCCTGATTAGTACAAATTAGAAAAATAAAAACTTAATCACAAAATTAGCCCTTCAGTCCATAAATTAAACTTAAAAAAAAAAAGGTATAATACTTAATATTTTTAAAATTATAAAGGATTGTAACAAAAAAATAAATTTTACTTTTAATTTATAAAAAATTAAATATTTTTATAGTAAGCATTGTAAGCATTAGTAAGCATTAGTTAATCTAAAAAAAATTATATATAAAATAGATAAATAATAAAAAGAATTAAAGCAAATAAGTTAAATTCATTAGAAGGATAAAGTAATACATTTAAAAAAGAATAAAGTTTATTTTCTTTTTCAATAAAGATGGATAAAAAAGTTATAAAAATATTAATAAATAAAAAAGATAAATTTAAAAATAATAGAAAAATTTAATAAATAATACTGTTGAATCTTCTAAATTTATCAAATTAGTTTCTTCCGGCCCTAAAATTTTTTATAATTTAAAGATTATATAATTAAAGATAATTAGCGAATACAATTAACAAGTAACCTTTTATAATTATATTAAACATAGAGTTTGCCTCTTCCCTGCAATTTTTTATAAAAGCGCGCTTTTTGAAATTATTATATTATTGAGAAAATGAATCCATTTATAAAGGTTATAATAATAAACTAGAAGATAATAAAAATACTGTTAAAGAATAATATTTTAAAGATAATAAGATAAAAATAAATATTACTTTTAAATTTTACTAATAATAATTAAATTATGAGTAATTTATAATTTATTTTAAAGGACTTTAATAGTTAGAAAATGCAAGAAAAAAATTCGACTAATTCGGTTTTATATATAAAAATATTATAAAAAAATGTTTTTGACAATATTTTTAATAGGGAATTGTATGACAAACTTCTTCTTCTGAAAGGCAAGAGAAGTTGGATAAATCTTCTTTCAGCTTGCATATTTGCTCCTCTAACTTTATAATAAAGTTTATATTTTCGTTAAGATAATTAATTTATAAAAGACCGTTATTAGAGTAGTTTTTCAAAAACTTTATTGAACAAAATCTTTTATATAGTGTATAATTATTGAACCCTTGAGAGAGAATCGGTAGAAAGTAGGAATGCCGAAAATTTACATCGTACAGCTTTAAGATCCAAGTATAATGCATAAGCCTTTAAAAATAACTAAGAAACTTGGAAAATAAGAATGCCGTACTAAATCTAAACCTTTTCAAAGTTAGGAGTTAACTTTAAAAAAGATTTGTGAGTTTCGCTACAATACTGTAGTAAACTATTTAAACTGTCTTCAGAGTACATAGCAAAGACATAAATCTAAATTTAAGTTTTAATTGTAAACTGTAGGAAAAAATTTAGTTAATATTTATTATTTTAAAAATATAATAATAATTATTTTTTAAACTAACACTACAGGAAAACAAGATAAGTTAATTTACTTTCATAATCATTAAGTATAATAAAAAGAAAAGTGCTAATTATGTTAAAAACTAAACTAATCAGGAATAAAAAAAAGTTTAAAATTAAATTATTTTGATAAAAATAAAAATAAATTATTTTAATTTTAAAAATTTGCAGTACCAAACTTTAAGGTTTGTAAACCACTTAATTCTCTATACCACGTGAGTCATAATTGATAAGATTCTTGAGAGCTACAAGTTGCCTTTTAAGTACTTCCGGTTAATCATTATCGTCCCATTATTGCTTTTATTTATAAAACTTCCTGCCTCTTTTTATTAACCAAAAAGTTAAGAGGCTTTAGATAGTGAATAGCTACAAACTTGCATAATAAGTATTACAAGTATACTACCATCTTACCTCAAAGTACTTTAGTACAGCTTTTTACGTGAGAGAAGGGGCGTTTTTTTTTTATTTTAAAGAATTAAAAACTAGTTGGTGATAGCTATCAATTTGTTGCTTTTTACTGTGGAGACAATGCTCTTTTAAAGGGCTGTATGCCTATTTTTTTTTGTTAATATAAAATGAAATGCTCAATTTAAGTATTTTTGAAGACGGCTATTATTACTACATTTCAAGGGGGAGTATTGCTCTTCTAATAAACTTTAGTTTTATTATTTTGTTAAGAAAAGAGTTCAAGTTAATAAAATTTATAATAACTAGAAATTGCCCAATATGTACTTTATGCACTGTTTTCTATAGAGCAGTGCATATCTTTTAAAACTTAACGCTTTGCAATATTTTACTTTATTAAAAAGTTAGAGCATTAAGGCATTATTGTTAGCGTTGTGTACAGATTTTCTTTAAAGCCTACTTCAGTTAAAAAGTTAGAGATTTCTTAAATGTAAATTTTTTGTACATAAATTAAGTGAATTTTTCAAGTAGAATATTTATTGCTCTTATTCCGATTAACTTTGCATTTTTGAAAATAATAATAAAAAGAATAAGTTAAGGTAAAGTTTCTAGTAAAAAACGTTAAATTACTGTGATAGCAACACTAATGACTCTATTTTTTTTTTAAGGCACTACTATAATATTTGAATATATTTCTTGATTGCGGAGTTCTAAAATTATTTGCAAATGGGTATATAAAAAGATCAATCTTTGTTTTCTAAGAGATTTCATATATGACTATTTTAAGGCTCTACTACAACATATAATATAATTAGTAAATTTTATTAGAATATTTTTAAATTAACAGATATTTTGTTAAATAAGGGATAAATAAAGAACGGAGGGTCAATACTTGCTTCCTAAAAAGTTTCTAAAAAGGTTATTTTGATGCACTACTATAACGGATAAATATTATGTAGTTTTAAACATTTTGCAGGTTTCTATTTGGTTTTTGGTAAATAGTAAATAATAAAATGGATCAATTTTTTTCTTAAAAAGTATATCAGGAAACAAATTTGATGCTATACTAAAAACTATTGATATACATTATAGATATTTAATATATAAATTTTGATTTTAATTATTTCTTTATATTTTATTTTTTTTTTAGTTTGTAAAGTTCGCACTTTCAAATAACTCTTAGCTTAGCTGAACGCCCTAAAGGAATGAAATCCTTGAGAGTTTTAAATTTTTTTAGTTTATAGTTAAAATAAATAATCTTTGAAAGGTATAAAACAATACTGTAGCAAATACTTTATACAATCGTTTATTTATTAAGTACATCTCCAAGCACTTAAATATCATAAAACTGATAAAACTTAATACTTTTTTATTAATATTAAAGAATTATAAGTAAACAGGCGAACTTTAAAATATTACAATTATATATTTGTACTTTAAATTTTAAATTATATTTTAATATAAAATATTTATTTACGTAAAACTAAAAAAAACATTAACTTTATAAATAAAAAGACAAACTCTTTAAAATATTACCAAATATTTCTTCGTACTTTAAATTTGTTATACTTTAAAGCAAAATACGATATATTTTAAAATAAAATTTTCTATTAAAAGAAATTATATCTTTTTTAAGGAATGGTTAACATACTAAACATAATTATAACAGTTTCTACTACTTATAAAATGTGTAGTACTAAAATCTACTAAACAAAAATATCAAATAGCCTTTACACTGATTATATATATTATAATTCATAATTATATTCCTATTTCTTAATATCTTCAACAACTTTTAAAAAATATGGATTACTCATAACTTTTTGTTGGAGTGAACCCTAGGCGCCCATACCACGTTACTGTCATATATAAAAGATTTTACCTATTATAGGTTTTACGGTGAAAATAGGATATATTTCCAAATAATCAAAAAATAACAATAATTAACAGCCACAATAAAAAACTTTATACCTAATTAGCTTAAAGTTTGAAGTATAATAAAATATTAGTTAGGATCTTTAAAAAATATTTTATTTTAGTAAAATATATAAAATTAAAATAAATTTGCTTTCTACATAAAATTGAATTACTTTCATTTTAGAATTTTTTTTTTTTTTTAAGTTGACACAAACAAGATTTTCAATTTCTTTTGAAATTTACTAAATATATAATTCTAATAAATAAAATAAAAATTGTTTTTAAAGTTAACATTAAAAAAAAAATTTAGTAAAAATTTCTTTAAAATTTTGTTTATAATAAAAATTGCTTAATTTGCATATAATTTGCTTTCTTTATTAATATGAATTACTTAAAAAAAATTTAATTTTTCAATTCGCAATTCTAAAAAAATTATGTAAATAATCACAACCCTAACCTTAAATTTCTTTCTAGAGTTCTTTAAGCCTGCAAGGACATGAAAGACTGTAAAGGATTCCTATTTCTATTTTTTAGGCCAACAAAAAATCATTTTCCAATTAATATAAAAAAATTTTATAATTAAATATATTTGTTTAATTATATTTATTTTTTTCAAACATTTTAAAATCTATTTATCAATATTATAAATTTTTCTTACATGAATATTTTTATTATTTTAAAAATAACTTACTCTCTTCATAAATATAAAATACCTTTAATTATATTATTTTATGTTGTTATAGTTTTACAAAAAATTGTTTAAAATTATTTAATAATCACAATTTTTTTAATTATATATATTTTAAATATATTTTTAAATACATTTTAAATATATTAATTTATAATTAATACGATAGTATAAATTGTAGCATATAACATTATATCTGCAAATAACTTGCTTTCATTATAAATGTAAAATCCCCTTTATATTCAAATTAAATTATTCAATAAATTAAAAAAATTAGTATTAAATTAGAATGGTTAGCCAGTTTATTAATTTATTTTCAATTCACGACAAAAAGAAGAACAACGGCGCAACTAAGAGGTTAAAAGCAGCTCTACTGAGAAAATATTCCAGTTTAAAGGAATTGAATCGAATATCTATTAAAAAACTTAAATTTAAAAAAAGTTATATAAATAGAAATTTTTATCATAATAATTTCGTTTAATTTTTTTTAAAAGAATTTATACACGCAATATTTTTGAAGTGTATATTATTTGGAAACTTTTATAAATATAATAACTTCTTTTAATTCAACTTTTCTTAAACAATTTTTATTTACAAAATTTTTAATAGTTTATAAAAGTTATAAAGTTTTAATAAATATTGAATTTAAATAATAAATTTCTTTTTATATGAAATTTTTAAAAGTTTAGATAATTACAAAATTTTTATAAAAATAATAATTTTTTTTAAACTTTTTCTTAAAAAAATTTTTTTTACGAAATTTTATTAGTTAATAAAAGTTATAAATTTTTGATAAATATAAATTTTTTTTTTAATTAAACTCTTCTTTTTGATATTTTATTTATAAAAGTTATAAAGTTTTAATAAATATAATTTAAAGAAGTTATAAAAAAAATTTACTTTTTGAAAAAATTTTTTAAATGTTTGATACTTAATTGTAAAAAAGTTTATATTTACAAAATTTTAATTATAAAAGTTACAGTTTTTAATAAATAAAATTTTGCAAGAAGTTATTATAATTAAAATTTAATAAAAACTATCATTATTTTGTTTTAAACTTTTAGAAGAGCACTTTCATTTACAATATTATAAACGATTAAAAGGTTAAAATATTTAAATAAAAAAATTTAGAAGAGGATGAATGACAATAATAATAAATTTTTAATATTGCTTTTTCTAAAATTTTTTTTGAAACACTTTTGTTTATGATATTTCATTAGTTATAAAAATAATTTTTTTTATTAATTCAGTTTATTTACTAAAAATATAAGGTTAAAAAATTTAAAAACTATAATAATTTATAAATTTTTTAAAATTTGGAAAAGCAAAGGTTATTATAAATAATAGAATTGTACAATTTTACATATAAAATTATAATAATTAATTATTATATAATATATAATTCATGATATTTGGTAAAGCAGAAATTATTAAAGAAGATTGTAGATCGGAAATATATATATTAATATATTTAAAAGAAATAAAAATTATATAAACCTATTATAATAGGAGAGCGGAGATTTATAAAAAAGAATATTGTGGAAATTTCAGTTATATATTAATGAAATATCAAAAAAATCCGCCATATTTTAAATATATTATAATTTGTTAGGCATGCAGTATAATTCCTTCCAAAAAACTATCTTTATGCAGTTCAGCTTTAGGTACATTCCTCTGGTATAGCAAGTGTTAAATAATTCTTTTGTTTCAATAGAAAATAGGCTGGTGCGGAGGGGCCACAGCCTAGTAGGGACTGCCGCATAGCACTACCAGGAGGTTCTCCTGCTAATAAAAAAAATATTCACGTAGCTACCTCTGCTACTGATACTTAAATTTATTTGGTTAGTGTTTAATATTTTGGCACAGAATTTATTGTCTACTTAACAAAAACGCGCCATCGAAATGAATCTTAAAAGTAAAGAAAAGTTTATAATAAATATACTAAAGCTGTAAAAAAAATAATACAATCCTAAAAACTTGAGCAAATATTTTTACTAGTCATATTGGTTTTTATCTATAAATTCATTTTTATTCTAGAGATTTTCTTTTCTTTTCCCATTTTCAACTTTGAGAGTTATATATTATTTCATATTTATTAAGTTTATACAATAAATTTTTACTTTTTATTATTTATACTAGTTTTTTATTGACCGCTTAAATAATATAATATTTTAATTAAGTAAAACTTCACAATCATATTTTTAAGAAAATAAGAAAACTACAGTGGTAGCTTAAAAGGTTTATTAGTTAGAAGCTTAAAAAAAAAGGTAACTAATTTATATAAAAAATATTTAAATATCATATTTATAAAAATTCGAGTAAAGCAACTTAACCAAATAAAATTTAACAGTAAAAAAAAAATTTTTTTAAGATATTAAAAATTAAATTGTCAATAATTTAACTATATATGTTTAATATTTATAAACTTTAGTTAAAAATATAAAATAAAAACTGTAAAATTGCTGTGCGTCATGACAAACGAGCCGTGGTGTGTGCAAGTTGGAGCTCTTCACCGGACCCCTTCAGTTGTTCCCCCTAGACATGGTCTTCTGAGGCGACGAGGCTACCAGGCAGACTAATCTCCTGCTTGTAAGCAAATTTACCTACAAGCCTCGGAACGGGGCTCGTTATCCCTGGAAAATTGTAACCTTTTCAATTAAAAGCTATTTCGAGTATTCGAAGTTTTTTGACTCGATCGAACACCAGGAAATGTCATTAAAACTGAGTTAGTGAATATATTTAAGTCGGTGTTTTTCACTTATTTGTATAATCATGTTATAGAAATCAATTATGGTCTGTATAACGCAAACTTTTACTAAGTTTCTGGCAAATTAGTAGATAACTTAATATAAGGATTAAAATTTAGCCTTTGGAGAAAACATACCATTTACAAGTTAGTCCTGATTAAAAAAAAAAGTTAAAAAAATTTCAGCAGAAAAATTTATTTAACTAAAAGCTTTGACAACTGCCTCAATAAGTAAGTTAACAAAGGAAAGTAGTTCGAGTGTCCAGAGGCTTCATTCAAAAAGACTGAAATGTTTAAATTGTATATAGTAAAAACTTGGTGTAATAAAAAAGTAAATATATATATATTTACCAATTTTTTTTTAATTTTCTACATTCGTTAAAGTAAAAAACTAATTAGACACCCAAACCGCACCTTATCTTTTAAAGAGAAGTAAGGGAGAATACTTTTTCAATTATATTGTATACTGTAGTGTTTAGCAAATTAAGTATAAGCCGAAGGAAAAGCGTTGCTTTCCAGTGTCCTTTAGTGGTTTTGATCGAATGGCTGGAAACCTTAATTACTTCGGAAATCCGATAATTACTAAATTTTTAGGAAGATCGTTTGTAATAAAGCTAAGCTAGTAGGTTCAAGTATTCATAAAAACGGTTCCAATTCTGTTCTCGTGCTCTAGAATTACCATAATTGTTTAAAAAAGCCAAGAGGGGAATATAAGAAACAAAGAAAGAGAAAGAATTGCACTTTAAGTTTTTGAAAACTAATCTCTTAAAAGGTTTTCATAATATAAATAAAGTACAAAGCTTTATTGTTATCTAAATCAACTTATTACTCTCATAATAATGTTGATTCATTGATTGTAATAGACGACCGAAGAGTGCTTCATAATTTTTATGTTGAAGTGCTTTGTATATAAAATAATCAAAAAAGTTTAAAAAATACTTAGGAATGTTTGTGATCAGGTTTGAGTTTATTACAAAAACCACATATTATTAATTGTATATGTTTTTGTCAATAAATGAAGAATTTATATTAAGATCATTTTAAGTTCCGAGCTGTTTTAATCTTTTATTAGTTTTATTACGTCGTATATCAAGAGAGCTTGTACGGAGGGCGTGGTAAAACAATTTTTTTTAACCGATATTACTTTTCTGAGTGCGGAGCTTTAGTTTAAGCGCTACACACAATATATATATAGTAACACGCTTAAGAAAATAATAAAAAAAAAAAGTAGATGGCTTGTTGTGCGCTTTCATCTTGCATATTCATAATTTCGTTCTTTTGTTACTGTTAAAATTGTAAAGGAAGGATGCTGAAAAAAAAGTGTGATAATGTGAATCCGAGCTGTACGTTAGTGTTTATTATAATGCTCTAATGCTGTACTTAATTTTGAGTGTGTCTTAACCTAGCATAGTAGAATTTTAACTTAAAAGTTATTTATAACTAATATGAAGTTATTTATACGTAATTATCTCCTTTTTAAGATTTATATTGCTTAAGCATCTCCCAGCATATGGCTTAAAAAATTTTCAAGACTCGAAAATTTAGTGTAAATATTTTTGTTTAGGTTTGCGGTAATTGCTAAAGTTACGTAGTTATAGGAGGAAAAGTGACTAGGATGACTAGGATTAATCACAGGTTAATAAAAGTAGTAACAAATATTGGGTTCGTTTATATTAATTTCATAAAATATCAAATTCACTCAACTGTAGGAAGAAGTGTAACACAAAGAATGATCAGTTTAATAGAAGTTCGTGAAAAGAAATTAGGGATCGAAGGGAAACGATTCTACTACAGTTGGCCAGAAATAGAACTTTAAATATGATCCTTTTCAATCAAAACAATTAGTAAAATTTCTTAACTCTTTAAAAATGGAGAACAAGGTAATGTGTTTTAAACGAATATTTATCCTGTCTTTCTAAACTGTACAACTATTATTTAAGTGTTATAGTTATCACTACTTATTTATAAATTACTTAAGGCGTCTTATAAGAAAACTATGTTTCAGCTTCAGAGTCCAAGTTTTACTCCCTTTTTACAACTTACGCTAAATTCCCATGCTACGCTCCCTTTTAAACTGAGTTTTAGTTTTTTTAATATTTATAAGGTGTCTAAAATATTTTTAACGTCTTTTATAAAAAAGCTGGAGGAATAACAGAGTTATAACTATGCAACTTAATGAAAGAAGTTGAGGCTTATTAAGTTTTTTAACACAATCGCGCCTAGAGTACCACAGAAAAGGGGTGAAAATGTTACTCGGATATATATTTATATGTTTGAACAGATTTACAAAAGGAAGTAATCCTTACCCAGACGTTAAGATTTTTATTTAAGTAGAGCAGATTTAAAGATTCTTTTAGTTTTTAGCGAATTAGTAAAATAAAGGTTTCTCTATAATTTTAGTACGCTTCCTTTAAGTAAAAGTCACTTGTGTTTATCCTCTTAAAAGTCTGCTACTAAGTTTTCCCCGACTGCTTCTAGAATATTTTTAGCATAATACTCCTATATGATACAGAAATATGCTAAATGGCACATTTTTATCTATAAGTACTTTCGCCTTACTTAATAAGATTCCTTTAGTTAATTGATCTTTTTAATTACTTTAAACAAGGCACACCATCAAAAAAATACTAAACTAACTCTTCGAAAAAAAAATAGCTCCGGTTAAATAAATTAAAAGATTATTAAACGATTTAAAGTTAGTATATTAACCTAAGCATCTACCTTTTGCTACCAAACTTTTCGCTTTGAAAATAGAGTTTTTTGACCAACAAGTCAAAGTCCAGTATAAACAATGTTCTATAAACAACACGGACGTCGACAAGGTTATATTAAATTTGTGAAGATAGTCAGAAAAATAACTTAGAAATAAATATTTTTTAAATTAATAATAAAAGATTAATATAAAAAAATACTCTTTATATCTTGAAAGAAGCACGGGATGTAGGACTATTGCCCAGCATCATACAAGTGTTTAACGTCTTTATAGGAAGCTTCTATGTAATTTGAATTTTTCCCATCTTGGCCAACGACTAGAAATATAACATTTCTCAAAACGTAAACAAAGTAGAGATAAGGATTCTTGCGAAAGCGAAAATCCAAGAAAGGATCAGAGGAGCTTCGAATAAAAGTAATCTTTTCTCTCCCAATGTTTATGGCAGAGGTGTCTCCTTCTTTCAATCTTGCAATTGCTTTTGCCTCATCTGCCGAAAGCTTGTCAACCTCCTCTCCCTTCTTGCTAATAACATTCCCTCCTTTATCCAAAATGCAAGCGCCTGCAGCCCCAGCATCAATCATTCTTTGCGCATAAGCGTCCCAGGACATTTTGAAGGCAACGAGAGAAAAAACAAAAGAAACTGGAAGACCGCTTGCCCCCTTGCTTTTATAATTAAAGGCAAAAAAATTTTACTTTCTATTTATAGCATTAATTTTAATTGGCTAAGTTTGCATAAATATTACCATAAGAAAAGTTAAGCAACTTTCCTTTTCTAGTTTTTAATGAAAAGCTCCACAATAGTTGTATCAAAAGAAAATTTAAGTGGTTTTGTACAACCTAAAATATATTTAGAAATCGGTAGTAATCTACTATATAGTCAACTTTAAAAGAGAAAGCTTTAGACCTTGCGGTCGTTACCTTACTAATTACTGAATAGAAATTGCTTTATTAATTATAAAATTCATATTAAACATATTACTTTCCCTGTTTAATTTTCGGTTAATTACTAATTTGTTTCCTTAAAAAAGATTTCATGGCAAAAAATACCTAATATAATGAAGTCAAGTAGCTAAATTTCATTTAAGCCGATATTTAAAACTAACGCTTACCAATCAACATGTCTTTTCTTCATAATTTTATTATAAACATAAGTTTAATCTTGCACCTTACTTAACTACATATAATGCTTATTATATCACTTAAGTTATAGCCTCTAGCTTATTACTTCATAATAACTTTTTTAAAAAAGCATTAATTTTAAAAAGACTTTTTCAGTTACAGGCCAACCAGCGTACATTGAAAATCTTCTTGACTCGCAAATGAAAGCATAATTTTCTCTCAGTGAAAAAATAAAAAAAGTTAAAATAAAATAAAAACTCCAAAAAATAAAAAAAAATTTAGATAATTTTAATTGTTCTATTTAACAATATCAGAGGAATGTTTCAAATTTTAGTTAATAAAAGAAAAAATCTACTATAATCAAAACGATATGTAAATTACTATTATAAGGATAAGTATTTAGAATTTTCGATGATTGCGTACAGTATGTTTTAATTTAATGCAACTAATTTATATAATAATGATTAACTTTACACAACACCAGTAACTAAGCTTTACTTTAAAATTCTAAATTTTTACTTAACAGGTGCAGTTGTAAAGATCAAAATGACTAGTGTGGACAAGTTTGTTTTTATTTATTTGTTTATACATCTTAACAAAGTTAGTTTTTTGAGCTAAATGTATACCATCCAGATGGGTTTGGGTTTGTGTGTTAATAACCTTGTGGTTTAGGTTGACATTCTATCCACGTAAACGCAAAGCACAAAAAATTCTGTATATTAACATATATTTTCTTTTGATCTGCTCTAAGCGCGTGTCTTCATTTACTTATAATAATTTGAAATTAAACTTTATAGCTGACGACGTTATAGGGAGTATTACACAGTTTTATAGAATTTTTTTCGTTGTTGTTATGCACATTTCTTGCGCGTCACAGAATGTGCAGTTGAAAAAAAAAATGCGTGCAGGTTTTATTGGTTATCGAACTGTCTAAAACATATGCAGCTCTTTGCGTCATTTTATAAAAAGAACGTCATTTTGTAATTTAGCTGTTTAGAAATAATATTGTGGATTTCTTATAATTTTGTTTAAAAGCAATTCGACTTAAGTACAAACTTGAAAACGATTTCATTTTATTAAAGTGCACCAATTTTTTATAAAATAAAATTAAAAAAAAAAAATTAGCATCAAACCGATCCGGAG